TTGGAAACAAAACCTTAGGCTTCTGGAGTGGGAATTCCAAGTCAGCTCCAGAGTGTGACCAAGTTTATGTGTAAAAGTTTGGCAATAACTTAGTGTCCCCATAAGAAATTACTTACTGGTACTTGGCTTGCTTGTCATAAAGGCAAATACAGCTCCATCATAAAGTTTTTTTCTGCTGCAGACAGTGTGACAAGGGGGGAAGCGATCTTCCATCAGAGTGGTAAAATGCAATGGTGACAGCATTTGGCAGTCAGAGGAAGTGTGCCCTGTTCTTACCTATGTTCTGTATTTCTTCTGATGAGACTTAGTTCATGATTCTTGGTCTTGCACCTTGTTTGTTGCAGTGAGGCAGTTTTGTGCTGGAGGTTGGAGGGAGGAAGGTCAAAGGGCTCTTACACAGTGGAACTGAACACTTTCCACAGTATGTCTGCTGGCTGCTTCATGGGGCCATCTCTGTGTTCCCTCTGCAGATCTGGCAGTGAAAGAGTTGCAAGGTGAGGATTTGGTTCCTAGACCCTGGTTTGTCTTTTCAGTCACTCAGTGATGATATTCCTTCCCTTCAACATCAGAAGCCTCTTATGCTTCATCCTGTATCTCCCCAGTGATCAAGAATAACAAGTAGGTTGTGTGTACTGTTCTTCTTCATGCAATTGCCATCAGTGCTTCCAGTACTGTCAGGCTCTCAAATGTTTCTTTAGCCCCTCTGAATCTCAGGCACACCTCTGGGTACATAGCTCTTCAAGGAAAAAAGGTAAGATATGAAATAGACTTTGATTAAAAAGTAGTTTTTTAGCTTGCTCAGCCAACTGCAGGGGCCTGGAAGGGGAAGGATGGAGGAGCAGAGCAGTACAAGGAATACTCCTGGAAGCAACTCCAGGCTTCTAATTGTTTTATCTTAGGCACTGACAAGCTGTCCCTGGGTAGCCCTCCCTCACGAGGAGTAGTGTAGGGCAGGTTGCACAACTGGGATATCACTTCTGGAGATGGGGTAGTAAATGGAGGACATTCAAGCCTGTCGAAGTGGCAGCCTGAATGCATCCTACATCCAGCTACTCCTTGCTCCTGAGGTCTCTCTAAGTACAGCAATTATTCCCCCAAGCCAACTGAAAATATTGCTCAGGGAGGGTATGTCTTTTTTTCCTGCAGAGGGAAGGGACCAGGAGGGAGCCTTTGCCTCACCACTTCCCCTCTCTGAGCATTCAGGTGGCTTGTTCTCTGCAGCAGGGAAGGGAGCTGAGGGTATCTTGTCTGACTGCTCACAGGTTTGTGCTCTTCCCTCCTCAGGCAGTCCCAGCCCTCGGTGGTGCCATGCCATGTGCCTCAGTGACCCGGGCACAGCTGTTCTCATTGGTGGAGAAGGTTCAAATCAACAGTCCTGCAGAGATGCTCTCTGGAAGCTGGAAATTGGTGGGAACTTTAGGGTTGTCAAAAGCATGGGATCAGTGTTACTTGAGGATAGCTCATGCAGATGGGAGGGGGTACTTGGGCTTTTGTGCATATGGAGGGGACAGCATCATATCTGGCATGTTGCCAGGCTGAGCTGGCAGCCTTATGAGGCTCTGGGTTTCTACTTGAGAGCCCTCTAGGAGCTAAGGTACAAGATCTGGAAAGAGTTGGAATTTTAAGGGGCAAAAGCAACAGTGCAGTTTGCAGTCTGTGTGTGGTGACTGATGGCAAAGTGTGAGACACAATTCCAGTGCCTTGTGTCTTTTTGCATCTCATCGGTCTTCTCTTTCACCTTGCTATTCCCCATCATTCCTTACAGAAACAATTCTGTATGAGTTCCTTCTAGCCCTGAATCAAAGGAGAGGAGGAGACAAAGAGAGCAAGGTTTTGAGTAAAGATTTTATGGCATATTCTTTAGAGAAATCAAGAGCATTTTTGAACTCCCACACCATGTGTCTGCTGTTGCTCCCACAGACAGCGATTTATGGCTTCCAGTGGGTTTCCAGCTACAAAATGCCATGCCATCATGCTTGCATGGTCACACAGCTACCTACGACCCTGACACCAAGCGTATCTACATATTTGGGGGCATAAGGGAGGACAAAGACTACAGCAGCATCTACATTCTGGACACAGTCACCTGGAAATGGCTCCTTGTGGCTGTGAGTACTGCATCTCTTCCAAGACAAAAGTGCAGGAGAGGTGGCAGGTTCTGCCTGAATGTGGCAGTCCATGTACCCATGTCCTTGGTCCACTGTTGCTGCAGGTTGTCTGAGATGCATAGCTGGGTTTGACAGGTATTAGGAGGCTGTGTTGAAAAGCCACATGCTGAATGGAAACCAGGAGCTGTGCCCACAATGAATGAAGCAATATGGAAAAAAGGTTGCTGGAGAGGGCTGTGCCTGACCAAGCTCAAGGGTGGGAGGTATTCTACAAGCAGCAGAGAGAAATGGCCTCTCATTTTATGTGGTGCCATTAAGAGCAGCACCAGATGCTGAGGTGAAGATCCGGTCTCAAATCAGGAACTGCCCTGAGCACAGCAGAATTCTGAGCCCTTGTCAGCATGGGACTGTCTCCTTCCTGGTAAAGCATAAAATGGCTTTTACAGAGTAAGCCTGGATGACATCTTTCTGTTCCCTGACATTTTCTGAGGAAGGTGTGGGAGGCTGACTTCCTTTTCTTATCAGAGTATTTTGGTGGTGTAGAGCATGCAAAGAATATGCTGTCTGCTTGTGCAGCAAAGATCTGGCTGAGGAGTCAATAAAGTAAAAACTGAGACTTGTCAAACTCACTGCATGATGTGGGCGCCCTTCCTATGGGTTATGTAGCAAATAATGCACTTCTTGTAACAAATATATTGAACTTTTTCTAGGCTAAAGGGAGGATACCAGTGCTCACCTACCACAGTGCAACAATCTACCACAAGGAGCTCTTTGTTTTTGGAGGAACTTTCCCCAGAAAGGCATCACTGGCAGTTGCACCTTGCAGCAATGTGCTCTATGTCTTCAATCCAGAGCATGAAATTTGGTATCAGCCCATTTCAGAAGGGGAGAAGCCTCTGCCTAGGCTTGGGTGAGTGCTCTAATTCCAGCTATCCAAAAATCAAAACAGCGCAGGAAACTTCTGCTTACCTTCCTTCCCACACCTAATATTAGGTGATTGTTCTCCACCATGTACCCCTTAAGACAGGGCTGTGTTCAGAGCAATGGGATTCTCAGTACCGCCTGTTGTGAATCCTGATGGGATTCTGTCCCAGGTGTAGATTGAAGCTATGGCAGCCCAGTAGAAGAGGCCGAGGCCAAGGCTAAAATGGAAGTTTTGAGAACTTGCTGAAGATGTTTTATTCATTTGCTTGCTCTCTCCAGGCATTCAGCTACTCTATTGAAAAACAAGCTGCTGATTTTTGGGGGTCGAAGGACTTCTCTCTATCTCAGTGACATGCACATTCTGGATCTGGGTAAGAAAGTCTGTGCCATGTGGCTGCCTTAGGAAGGTCTGTTCGAAGACAGGTACTTGGGAGTGAGGTGTGCTCAATGGGAAAATAGCAGTAACATTATACAAACTCCTGACTAGGCAAAAACTGGCTAGGTGAAAAACTATGGGTTTAAAAAGAAAACCTTTCTGGGGCAATAAGGGAGGGGATAAAGAAAAAACAATGGCTTTTTTGGAAGAAGTTGGGTAATAGGGAAGGCAGGTTGTTGATGTGACAGAGTATCTAAGTTTTTGTCTAGTTATGAGGTTGAGATTTTTGGACATTTCACCTGCCTTTTCTCTGTCTATCAGGTTTCATGGAGTACACACCAGTCCCCCTCCTGGCAGGACAGCCTTCTGCACGTTGGTAAGATTCTATTGCAGACCCAGGAGCTATCTTCTGTCATTTCTCTTTGAAGCTAGGTTTAAACAGTGCTTGTGATCAGACCCAGCTGCATATCTCTGTTCCACTAGTCAAAATACTCTGCTGTGGGGCTAGGAATTCTTGTGCTCTCTTGTTGGTGCCTGTATGGTGTGGGAGGATCTTCCTTAGTGTCCCTGGAAATCTGTCTTTCAGGCTAGGCTAGGTTTTCTGCCATGTGCTAGTAAACTCTATAGCCTGCTCTTTGGTCTTCATAGTGTCTGGAGAGTTTACTGTGCCACACAGAGGAAGAAACGTCTGTACCAGGACTATGCTGTTCCTAAAGAGAGAATTGCTCACTAGAACAATGATCTAAATCAATGCAGAGCCCAGCTAGCCTGCTATTTCACCCCACAGAGCAAAGCACAGGTTTTTGCTAGCTTCTTCTGAGATCATGAATTATTCTTAAGGCCTGATTGTGGCCTGACCTGCAAAGGCCAACATCTTTTAGGGTTATTCTGCAAGTCAAGGCAGATACAAGCAGAAGTCAACTTTCTTCCTGCAGCTTAAGCCCCCAACCTTCTTATCAAGTCTGCCCATCCCTGCCCATTGCTGACTGAGGCCATCACAGCAGGTTTTGTTGTAGTCACCTTTTGACTTTACTTTGGTCACAGTTTTCATGCAGCTCTGGCTGTGTCGGACCAGAAGGTTCTGATCAGTGGAGGCTGCAATGCCAGAGGAGCCTTGCCTGATGCCTTTGTCTTCCACCTAGGTGAGTGACTCTCCTGCCCTGTTTTGGAAGCTGAAGGTGACTCTGGGGGTGTAGTAGTGTTTCTGAACTCCAAGACTATTCCATTTGTCTCATCCCTTGCACTAGGAATGGGCTTGTCAGTATTGATATCCCTTTTCCACTTCAGATACTCTTTCATGGAGCACAGTGATCCATCACGACCTCTGCTCTATTCCCCGAGCTGGCCACACGTTGCTTGACCTGACTCCTGCCCACTTGATGGATATGGACAAGGAGAACAAAGAGGAGCAGAACCTGCACACGGTGTTGGTCTTTGGGGGCTCCAATTGTTCTGGGACCTTTTATAACAGCACTGTCAAGATCCAGCTGGACCTAGGATAATGCATGATTCTCACAATAAACCTGAACAGCAAGGCTCTTCACCAGCCTAAATACAGATATGGATGGCAATAAATGAGTCCAAGCAACATGGCAGTCCAGGAAGCTGTATGTAGGTGAATGCAACCTTGGTACAAGAGATTGTGGATTTATAAAGTCTGAAGGCCATGGGTATTGTTCTTCCAGGGTACCTGACATACAATATCTGGGCTTAGGTGCCAAAACATTCAGTGGGATCTGAACTGAGTCTGCACAAGAACACAGACAACAAGCTAATGGGTTCCCTTCTTGCTGCACAGGTTTTTAGCTGGAATTCCCAGGGTGCTTTCAGCTTTGAAGGTGACTTAAGTGTTTGGTTTCATTTGGGATGAGTGGAATGGTATTTGCTGCTCCTATTTGGAAAGTAAAAGTAAAGGCATGATTCTGGTTTGGAGGCACTCTGGGGTGGGATTCCCTTGGGCAACAGTCTGCAGCTGAAGGCTAGGAAAATACCTAGAACAGTGTCTGAGGATAGAAAAAAGAAGAGAACATAATTTTCAGTGTAGAGAGCTGGTTGTGCCTTGCTGTCTATAGCACGATCACCTAGCTTTGCTCTAGGCAAATCTTCTATAAATTCTGTGCAACTGCTCTCGTTGTTTGCAGAGGGTGACAGAGTTGCTGACTTGGCTCTTTCAAGACCCCAACAAGAATTAAGCTATCTTCCATCAGAGGCTAGATTTTATTGTTTATATCCATGGAACTGATGAATGTGCTGTGGCTCTGAGGCACCTTCAAGGACAAGCACACTGTGTACACCGATTCCCTGATGCTTTCTGTAGATAGTAGAAAGTAGCCCCTGGGGGAAATACAGAATTGGCTCAATGCCTCACCGTTTTTGTGGCCACATTCCCCTACCCAAAGCCATACAGAGGGAACTTCTGATCATTATGGATACTTCTGCTTTAATCTGCTTCATCGAGATAGACTGCATTAAAAAAACTAGTAGCTGCAGGTGTTCCAGCACAGGCACAGCTCCTGTATGTCATCCACACTACTTCCAGGTCCTCTGTCCTTCCCACCCAAATGAAAGGGCAACAATAGTACTAGGGATTCCTACTGGCACTGAAGTTCTACTCAAACGGTAGGTGTTGCCCTCTTTATCATGCCAGGTTTCTTGATTTAATGAGTAGAAAGGCTTCAAGCTCGCAGCTCTGCAGGAGTATCTGGCTGCCGGGAAGGGTGGGTTATTTTGAAGGCCTCTAACTCCAAGAGAGCTTTATTTATTCTGGTTATTGTGGGATATGGACCCATGTCCACTTTGAATCTGTAAAAGGAAAAGAATTTGTAAAGTACTATGAGTTGGAGAGCCAGTGCAGCAGTGAGCAGAAGTGCAGAGCAGTGTGATAGGCCTGCCTAGTATGGGAAAACCTCACAGGTATTTAACACAAAAAGTTCATTCTTGTAAGTTTAAAAACAAATGCTAGAGAGATTAATCAGTGCCTGGAGAGGTTGTAAAGTCTCCTTCTCTAGAGACACTCAAAACCCAGTGGACGCCATCCTGTGCCACTTCCTCTAGCAAGGAAATTGGAGTGGATGACCTCCAGAATTTCCTTCCAACCACAATGACTGTGACTGTGTGATCTTCACCAGGTTTTTTCATAATGTGCAGCACAAGGTAAGAAGACAATGCTTCTCCTGGGAATCATGCAGCCACTACTTGTATGGGTTTAAGGCTTTAAACAAATAAAGTCTGATTAATCTTTTCCTCCTGTGTGCAGTGTAAGAATAGAGCAAACAGGGATAGAGAATATGGAGTGTGGGCAACCTCAGCTTTTCTAAGGCCACAGATCAGGTTTCCCAAGGGGCCTCCTAGAGGAGGGAGACTACAACTCCTTATTTCCAAATGAGACAGTATTTTTGAAATAGGAAAATTCGTGGAGAGAAGAAACATAAAGTGGATAGGGCAGCTAGGAGGGATGCTTTCTAACAGGCAAAAGAAGCAGCAGAAGGTAAGCTCTGATAGCCCAGCATAAGTAGGTGTGTTGAAGAATATCTCAAGCTTAGTCTTAATTACCTTTCAGCATTGGCCACTTGAGGCACTAAACACAGATCAGCCATGGAAACCTGCAAATATAGCAGAGAAAAGGGGTGAGTAATTCAGAGCCTACCCCCTCACACTTCCCAGTGGTAGCAGGCTTTGAGACCAGGACAGAAATTATTTTACCAGCCAGTACAGAGGAGTTATCATGATGACCTAATTCTTTAATTCAGCATTAATACTACAGCAACAGTACAAGAAAAAAAACTTCATTGTAATCACTAGTAGAAGCCATCAGCTTTTAGGGAGCTTTATATTTACCAGCTGATCATTATGACCTCAAGGACACTGTGCTTCTATGGCAACTGCCTCTAAGTAAACAGGTCTGCTGGCAAGCTGCAGAGGGAGGTGATGGAGGGGAGGGGGTGTTTGCATGGCTGTGAAAGGTTAAGTAAATTTTGCTTGTTTGCACTGCAGGAGTCTCAAGCAGGCCCTGCCAATATCAAGACTTGATATGTCAGAGGGCCTTTACAGAAGCTCAGAGACTTGCAATCTGAAAGGAAGACTCAAGGACAGTGCTGCTGGCTGCCTATCTGCACAGAGGCAGCTGCCCCCACCCTGCTCCCCACATCACAGAGCCCTGGGTGCCTCTCAGAGCACACGCTATTCTCCAACATTAGATCTTGTAAGTAGCCTTCGCCTTCCAAGGGCTCCATAGGGCTGCTACTAGACAATCCTCTGCATCCCAGGATAATGCAGGAACCTTCCTTTTTTCTAAGGCTTTTATAGGAAAGATCTTTTGCCTGGCATCAGAACTAATTAATGGAAAATACCTGAGCTGCCTCTAGTTTGGTAAGGGTCAGAACAGCTTTCATGTGAGCTCTGTGAAATCTGTCCATATTAAAACTGGATTATCAGAACAGAAAAATACAAGTTGGTTAGTTAAAGGTTCCACAGAACAGAGCTAAGAACTGAACCCATGTTTCTTGAGCCAAACTTTGCCCCTATGAGAGGATATGTTGAAGTCCAAATCCCATAAAGATGTAATGATATATCATCTTTTTCCACATCCACTAGTACCAGCCAGATCCTAGATACAGCTGCAGAATCTGGCCATCAGCAAGTTATGCAGGGAGAAGTAAACATCTCCATAACTCCTCTGCCAGTCAGTAATGGCATAAGTAGGATCCATACAGCTGGTTTTTGTTATGGTAAAGGCACTGCATGTAATTCTAGGTACTGAATGGGGTTGTGCTCTTGTCTAATTTTCTTAACTAATTTTCTTTCCTATTTTAGGGAAAAATACTGGGGGTTTTCATTCTGCCGTGGCACACAGGGCTCTCTTAGATACTTACTTCATCCCCTACACAGTAGCATCCAGCAGTGTGCTGCAGAATCTGCTCCAGTGCTGTCAAGAGAGGTGGTACACTGGAGTGAGGCATTGGAAAGTCAATTGAAAGGAACACCAAACACTTTCTAGACTGGGAATTATGAACAAGAACATCTTAACCCCGAGAAGAGTATGAAAAAGGAGCATTTTGGGATGGAAACTAGAAGGAACAGAAATCTTACTATAGTTATGGGAGTCTTTAGGGTCCTTCAGCTTTTTTGGACACAGGGTGATTTCAGCTGCTTCAGACAATGCACTTGAAATACTACGAGGATAATGTAGAAATACATGACTGGGGAGGGGAAAAATGCAAAGGTTCAGTCAGTTTGTGTCTGTCAGAAGTGAAGATGGGCCTGTCATTGCAGCACATGGGGGAAAGGGTTTTGAGGGAACCAAAAGCACTATTTCTCTCAAAGAGGCAAAGAAATACTCTGCTACTTGCTAGACTCTATGGGACTTTGCTATTAGATGTCTGATTACAAAAACATATCTGTAGATCTATATCTATCTATATGTAGAACTTTAGAAGTGCTGTGAGCCCTTGTGCTTCAGAATGAATCAACTGCTGCAGTGTGCAGGATGGCACCAGGCTTCCTTTCTTCTATGTGCAGCAGTGAAAGTGCTCTGAGCACATCTTTCCCCTAACATCCTGGGGAGCTACCAGTCCTGGACAAGAGACTCTGGGCAGGAAGAGCACTGTCTCTGCCAACAAGGCAGGACCCCAGCACACCACTCTAGGAATATCTGTGGTTCTACTTGAAAAGGAAACAGCAAGTAGCACGTCAGTGGTGCAGCATTTTGTCAGGTCAGCCAAAATACTGATAATTTTGGATGTGAGATGTACCTTGAAAGCCAGATGTGATACAGTTTTGAGCCCATTCCATTTTTTTCTCCCCCACTTGTTTCAGGACACTCAGGTTCTGTGAAGGCAAAGCAATCTCTACGTTAGATGACTACAACTGGCTGGATTTTACCCACTGTGTCATCCAGTGGAGGAGAGGGGAGATGAGGAGTTGCCACAGCTGAACCCCTGGCCTGAGTTGAGTTGGTTGGGTCAGCCTTGACCTCACCTGCACCAAATCATGCACCTTGCTGTATCTTTCTTGGCACTACCCTTCTGTAACAGTTGCCAGGCTATCCCTTTGCCTCTTCCCTTTGGGATGCTCAATTCTCTTCTTCCTAAAATATCCTAGACTCAGCAGTAAAATCATATGGATTCAGCTCTTTCTGGAAAGAACCCTGGGATGCTGTAGGATTTGCTGTGTTGGAAATACTGTATTGTTGCCATTGGCAGATCAGGCACAGGTTAAGCAAAATTTATCTGCTAGCACACCAATCTGAAGTTGTGCCACCTGGTTGGCTGGCAACAATTTAAGGAGACTGAGAATTTCAGAGACAGAAATCCTTTCTGGTTTTCTCATTTGCATGAGACAAGGCAGTACCTGGAGAGGTTGAATGCCAGAGACAATGTGATCAGCAATCATTCTGACTTGGGCTCTCTTCTTTGGATCTTGGGGCAGGAGCCTGGGGTTAGGATGTGTCTCTTCTAGGTAATTAATTATAGCTAGCTGTAATGAACAAAGAGATAATAGGAGGTTATTGGAGAGTCAAGTTCACATCCTAGACACCTGGGAAAGGGGAGCTGATCCAAGAGAATACAACAGCTTTTGAAGGCAGTTTGTTACCAGTCCAGGGAACAGAATAATCCCTCTGCCTGTGACCTTGTCATTTGGTCCAGCTGTAATTTCAGGCAAACCGTGAAACAGCCATTGAAGTCAGACTACAAACTGCTTAGTGAAAGGTGGAGTTATGAACCAAAGCAGAATTGAACTTAAATCCTTGACAGTAGTTTTCCATCAGGAACTGTGCTATTTCTGTTCCCAAATGGGATCATAAATGCCATCTCTTTTCCAATGTATAGGTGAGAGCTCTGGGGAAAAAGATGGGGCAAAGCCATCTCATCCAGACTGGGCAGCAGGCTGGAGTGAAAGGTTAACAGGGATGTGTCTGATAACTCACTGACTGACAAAGGGTGATGCCATCAATTTTCAAGGCTGGGACTTGCTGCATTGGATTCAGTGCTTTGAATTCAGCAGAAAACTGTGGAAACAAACCTGAGATTACTCTACAGTAATAAGAAATTCTTCCTCCTTGTTTTCTTCTCCCAGAACCCAGTTACCAAATCTTTTTCCTACCTCTTTTCTCTACCTTAATACTAATCTTTGCAGTAAATGATGCTGTACTATTAGCCTACAGCAAGCTCTCACTGGGGCTCAGAGATCACTGCATCCAGGGCCTGACTGCCTTATCTCTTGATAAAGCATCACAGCAATGCTCAGAATGGGTGGTACTGCATCAGTGCCACCATTACCATCTCAGTTGTCTGCCTTAGCCCATATCAGCCTATTGAGTCAGTGGTACTAAAGAGATGAACAACTCCCTCCTATGGGCCCCCAAGTGAAGATCTCTTTTGGCAACCCACCTCTTCCTTCTGCAGGCCCTTTGCAGCCCCCTGCAATATCATTTAGCACCTTTTGGACACCTCCCATCCCTGCCTCCGTGCATCTTCTGGTGCTAATTGAACGAGGTTGAGTCTGTGTAAAGTGTGAGGCAGCTTCTCTGAAGCCTGTGCTCCAGATATGTTCAGTTGTATCATGGTAAGCAAAAGATCTTCAGCCTTATGGATTCAGTCACAAATGTCTGAGAGAGGAAAGAGCCTCTAGTCTCCTGCAGTCATATTCTCCTCCTGTCTCACATGCCAGGGAATACTGGCTGAAAGCAGCTATTAATTACAGAGAAGTGGTGAGGAATTCAGTAACTTTGCTTGTGAACTTTCTAGTGCTAATCCCAAGTCTCCTGATGATCCCTAAGCTCAGTACCCCTGGAGAGAGCAGTGGTATTTTTATCCTTACCTGCTGTCCTCCATCCTTAATGAGGTTCACTGGGACCAGGTCATAGGAAATTCCTTTCAGAGCGAGTGCTAGGGAGAGCAGAGTGTACAGCTTCAGAGGGCTGCACTGGGACCAGTTTCATTGGTAATGAGCTCAGGGAAATGTTAGCCATCTACTTGAAAAAAGACTGCCTATTTCAAAATAAACTTTGCAACTCTTTGCAGCACAAGCCTTCCTGATTCAGCTTATAGAAGGCAGGTGACCATGTACTCACCTGTAGAACCTTTCTGACTCAGTACAAGTAGGGACTATTCCCAGCCCTGCTTAGCTCTCAAGACCTGGGCAGGACAGAATCTGAGGCAGCATCATGAAGCTCTCTTATCTGTTCTCCTCTATTCCACCTGCTCCAGGTAAGCTGCAGCCTTCCCCTCCCTCCCCATGGGGAGATGCCTCAGGCATGTTCCAGGCTCATGTTTGCTAATCTCTCATTGATTAACTGGGTTAGTGAAAGGGAGGATATTGTAATACTGAGTAAATAGAGAAAAATAGAGAGATCAACACTGAATCTTACCAATTCGCACTCTCCAAGAACAGGAACTTCGGAAATAGCTGTAAAGTATCGGCTGAGAAGAGAAAGATCAAAGGGTTACACGGAGCATCAGAGTATTGTATGTAAGGAGAAAAATGCGTGAGCAGAAGGCTTTTCAGGAACTCTAAGACGGGAGAGCACTGTTTGGAGGAGAGAGGGCTCCTTTCTAGAAGTAACTGTTCCTGATTTGGGCATACAGGTAGCATCACTGTCTCTCATAACAGCCTTCTCATTATCCAGTTGCACCTGATGTTTCCAGCAATGCACAAATGACCTTAAAATTATTCCCTATAAATCTTCCCTCTTTGTCTCTATCCAATATTACTAACTTCTATCCCATCTTAGATTTCTACTGATTGTGCCAAGCACCTGCACTGGGTATTTGCATGGCATAAAATAGCTTTTCCAGCTATTCAGGGAAAAGCCAGATCTCTTTCCAAAGAAGAGCTTCTGTTGTTTGAGATGAAAGCCACGAAGACAGACAATTTTACCTGATCTACAACATCAGATATCTCTGCCTGAACTATAACACGAAGGCAGCTTTCCCAGACGCTTCCACCCTGTCTAAACTCTTACCTTTTCAGATGCCATGGTGTGTGCAGTCGTCTCCACAAAATACAAACAACCTCTGTGTTTTCCCTTTTATCTCAGATGAAATGGCAGAAGGCTTCTCTCCTAAATTCAATGAGGAAAGGACTATGCCCCCTAGTCTGTGCTCAGGAAACAAAAACCAGCCAGTCAGAGTCAAGCCTGAGTGACTCTCTCCCAGTTCTGATATAAAAATCATTAACCAGATTTAAGCTTGGAAGCACATTTGGGAACCATTCTTATTTTTGTAGCTTTTCATCCAGAAACAAGTAAGATAGCTGGAGAGCTGTCACCAATTTCTGCCAATGCAGAAATCTAACCCTGGAGAAGAAAAAAAAAGAAAACCTCTAGGGAATGACTGCTAACTCTGGGAATGGGCTGCCTTTGCAGGGAAATTTCTTATTGTGCTCCTGTAGCCCACCTCCCACCAGTCCTGGCCAGTACGGGGGTTTTTCTACATTGCAGATATGGGACAAGCTGCTATTCTGCTCTCAGATGAACTCTGTGTAAAATAAGATTGCTTTTTTTTGTGTGTGTCACAGTCGTTTGTTCCCACACAGGAAACTGGTACCCATATATGTCTCCAAATAAACCTGTAATCATGTCTCTCCTTGCCTACACAAATCCCATGGCATGCCATGGATCTCTGTGTCTCTACCCTCCCAAAATGCATTTAAAAATGCATTTTTCCAGAGACTGGCAGCAAGACAAAAGAAAGCAGGGATATGCTCAATTATAGTCTGTCAACAGAAAACGAGAGACACTGATGATCTCTCTGCTCCAGTCCTCTTTGTAAACTTCATGCTTCTCTTACAGTTTAGATTGGCTCAAATAACTTCAAATGAGGTATGTCTTTGACTAAATTGCTCAGATTTGTAAGTGAGGAGGAAAGTGACGGCAGTACTGGTAACACTTTAGTGGACAAAGTATTTACTGATTTTCTTAAATTCTCTTCTTCTGGGATCAGGGCATTAGAAATATCAGCTATGTTCATTTTTCAAATGTCTAGCCTGCTGAGTTGCAGGGAAAGAAAAAAGAACCTATGGCTTCAAAAGAGAAGCATAGAGCATTCATGATATACTAATTTTACTTGTTTTTCCTGAGGACCTTGTTAATGATTTTTTTGGCTCAGAAATTCACCACATCTGTTTAGGACTCTGGCCTCTCAGCCAGCAGTGACATTTCTCCTGATCCTCTCTGCAGTTCTTTTTTGGTTTTACAGCCTGTGCTATCATTTGGAATAAACTGTGCTAAGCTAATTGCTTTGCTCTATAATTTCAAGGCCCTGGGGGAGATCACCAAAAAGAACATAGAAACCAACCCGTCATTCAGCTGGGAACTGTCTCCAGAGGCTGGGGCCTGGAGTGATCTCTTGAGTTCATGCTGGTTTGCTCCTAACAGCAGGGCAGATCACAGGCAAAAATAATCAGCTAAGTAAAGACTAGACACAGCAGAAATATTTTGTCCTCAGTGGACAGATCCCAGTGACACTGTGTCTTCCTCAGATGAAATGCTGAGCAGGGTCCAGGGAAGTCTCAGGAAAGAATTTCCTGCATTTACAAACTCTGTGGGATAAAATTCCCAACATCTACAGTTTAGACTGGTTGGAGCTGAGATGATAGCAGGACAGGATTTGCTTGATGTCTACTGAGAGATCTGGTTTGGTTCTGCTTTCATTTCTGGCAACGAATGTGGAAAGTTTGGGCTTAAATACAAGTTCAGAGTAAAAATTTGGGAAACGCACTTCCATGTTGTGAAAGACAGAAGAAACACCCTTTCCAAGCAAGCTTTGTGTGTTGACCTCTTAGGTTTCCTGTCTTCTTCATTACCTACTCTGGACGTCACCTCTTTGCAGGCGCTATACGGGATGTGCTTGGAAAGGCCCAATCTCTCACCTTTCCTGAGAGCCACCAAGCCATATACACTGCTCCTTGGGGGCTGGCGTGGGGGACACCTCGCTGCCTGAAAGGCACTGCTTGGACTCTGCTGGGTTCAAATGTAAAGCAGAAAGAACAGATTTGCTCCTAAATTCTCAGTATCTCTTCAGCAGGATTCGGTGTGAGCAGCGCACATGAATAAAATATAGTAAGCAGCACCGCTAAAAGCATTAGCAAGCTAAAACATTTTATTCAGCATGAGGTTAAATTCCTTGTTTCCACTGCGACAGAGACACGGGTGCAGGCTGGGGCAGCGGGGGCGCGGTGCTCCCGGGAACCGCCATCCCGGCCTTCCCAGGGTGCTGGGGTACCAGACCCCACAGCCAGCGACAAGGCCGAACCGACGATGCCCGCGCCGGCCGAAGGCGGAGAACCGCTGCCCCAAGCTCCGGTCCCTCCGGCTATGGCACCGCCATCGTCCCCCGCTCCCCTCCCGCCCCGCGGGGAGAGCGCGGAGCCAGCGCGCGTACCTTGGCGGCGGCAGCGCTCATCGCCGTCCCGGCCTCGCTCAGTGCTCGGCGGCTGCCCGGCACCGCATCCCCGGGACTACATCCCCCGGCGTGCCCCGCGCCCCGCCCGCACTCCGCGCCCAGGATGCGCCGCGCTCGGCGCGCTGCAGCGCGCGGCGGTTGCCCGCGGATGGCGCCGCGCCAGCGGGAGCCCCGCCGGGGCCCGGGGGAGCCGGCGCGTCCCGCCCCGCCCGCCGCCACCCGCCCGGCCGCGCTGGCCCTCGTCACCCTCCTCAGCTTCGCCTCCCGCTTCCACCGCCTGCGGGAGCCGCCGCACGTATGGTACGGGCCGGGGTGCCCCTCCGGCCGGGCACGGCCCGGGCTCCGGGGAACGGGTGGGTGCGTGTCCGCTTCCTCCCGGCCACAGAGGCCGGCACTGCGCCCTGGCTCCCGCCCCGCCCTTGCCCGGCGTGGGAGGGATCCCTGTTTGTCCCAGGCAGGTGGAGGGTCGGGACATGGCAATAAGAGCTGCGCGCTCAGGCCAGCCTGGCCTGGCTCCTGCGCCCTCCCCGCTGCTCTCGGGCAGTGCTGCAGGGAGAGCATCAGGTCCCGGAGAGGCGATTTTGGGGATCTGTGTGCAGCAGGCCGACTTTTAAACCTCGCTAAGGTCAATTGGAAATCAAAAGGGCAAACCAGAGGTTTTGGAGTGATAATATCAAACTGTTTTTAAAATTGACCTTTCCTACAATGCTGCAGTGCTCTCCATGCTTCCCACTGAGTATAATGCATTGTCTCATATGGAATGTGTGGCAGTAACCCTCTATACTATAAAAAGCATAAGTATAAAAACCTTCCTGGACTTTTTTTTTAAACTCTCTTAGGTATTGTAGCAGATTGGTTATTCTGGTCTGTGTTTTGTTGGTGTGTTTTTTCCAGTTGGGATGAAACTCATTTTGGGAAGATGGGAAGTTACTACATTAATCGGACCTTCTTCTTTGATGTCCATCCCCCTTTGGGGAAGGTAAACTGCTTTTCTGTTACGTGTTTCAGAAGCCACAGGAGTGGGCCAGTAAAAGTCTGCCTCTGCCTTCTGGCCAAAGCATGTGGTGAACACCAAAGTCCTTCCTAACTGTTGTTGACATCGTAGCAATTAGCTCTGTGTCCAGAGCCTCAACTTGCAACTTTTTGTCTTCACAAAACATGCTTCAAATATAAGAAAGCCAAACATTACTGCATGCTGGGTTTTTGGAAGGCTTGACATGAAAAAGTCAGTGTGACACTTGGAGGGCATGTGTAATAGAAGCCTGCATTTTAAAGGAAGCAAACAGTTCCTGATAATTTGTGAGCAAATGAGATGCCTGCCACATATGACCCTGAGAGCTCTGATTTCCTGTTCTGTAAATGAACTTGTTTTAGCAACAGTGTGTAGTGTGGATGAAAGTGCATCCTCCTGCCTCATCAAGGTTATCCTCCTTTCGTACTGAGTCTTCTGAAACTAAAGGGATAGGGAGCTGTGGGAGACTACAGAATTCTCTCTGCTCAATTCCACACCTGGTATTTTTCTTGAGTTTGCAGTCATCCTTAGTCTGTTGCAAAAAGAATTCTGATTTTGCCTTTAGACAAAGGGCAGTATGTATGCATATAATTACTTTAAATAAACTATTTTTTGGATGATGTGTCTGAATTATTTGTCCTCTGGATCAACGTGGCTTCTATAAAAATCTTACCTGCTGCTAGCCTGGATACTTTTTCCTCCAGTGTGATTTTTCTGACCAGTTTTTTCACCTTTCCTCTTCAGATGCTGATTGGACTTGCTGGCTACCTTAGTGGCTATGATGGTACATTTCCTTTCCAAAAGCCAGGGGATCGATATGAGCAGCACAACTACCTAGGGATGAGAGGGGTAAGGCTCTGCAGGCCAGGGTCAAGCTAGTTAGCTTCCCTGTGCCTTTCAATACAGAGTGTTACATTTTAAGAACAGCTCTCTTTGATCAGGGTAGAGGTCTGCTTAGCCTTGTCTTTAAGCTCCTTTGAAAAGTGTTAATGGTTCTCTTGTGAATAAGTCTTAATGTGTTTCTATGAGAGACCAGGTGAGAAATTAAGGTGAAAATTGAGGCCAGCTCTTCCTGCTAATTAGTGAGACTACACTGCTGCATGGGATAGATATCTTGCCTGTTCTGCAAAGCAAACATTACAGAGTTTGAGCTTATCTCACTCCGTTGTGCCTGCCTAATCTGCTGGGGAGCGAGGGATATCAAAAAGCCACGATCATCCACTGTCACCTGCATTTTGCCACCATCAGTGACACTGAGCTGAGTATGCTGATGGGGCCTGGGACAGCAGGGCAGAATTCAGAGCTGTATTCGATCTGAAACCCTGGCTGTACTGCTGTTTAGGAAGACCAAGAGCCATATGACTGACAGCACATAAGTCAAAAGGAGAAACAGTGATCAATTGCTACTTCCTAGAAAGAAAACTGAAAACTGGGAAGACATGTTTTCTTAGTTTAGTTTCCAGAAGCTCATGGCTTTAGATTTCCCTGAGCCAAAGGTGGGAGAGGTGCTAGAAACAGACATTAAAGACCATAAATTATACTGTGGTTTTGCTTTCTTTTGTTTTGATTTCTCCTCTTTCTCCTCCAACTATCCTGGGTCTCATTTGTGTAGGAGAGGGGAATCTGGTCTGCTAAAGATACAAGGTGCAGGTGTATTTTGTTCTTAGCTTTCATAATCTAGTATCTTGTTAAAAAAAGGCTGAGTGTAGTGCACCTACTTGACACATCCTTTTATGAGTATCTGGCCTAGCAAGAGTGTGACTGGCTGTTGTTACTGACACCGATGCAGAACAGAGTAAGGCTCTGTCCTCTGAGCAGTGTCTTTGTTCAGCTGATGTTCTTTGTGACTCAGTTCAGGTGCAGCAACACCTCCTGTTGTAGATATGGAAGAGAAAGGAAAGGAAAGGAAAGGAAAGGAAAGGAAAGGAAAGGAAAGGAAAGGAAAGGAAAGGAAAGGAAAGGAAAGGAAAGGAAAGGATGCAAGCTCTTGTCCGCCGTGGGTGGGGTTATAACTTCTCCCATTATCTTTTCCTGCAGTTTTGTGCATTTCTTGGCTCCTGTCTGGTTCCCTTTGCCTACCTCACGGTGTTGGAACTGTCAAAGTCATTGCCAGCAGCCTTACTCACAGCTTTCATCCTTATTTTTGGTAGGTGTTCCTGCTACAGCAAAATAGAGTATCTTAATAGTTCAGATAATTTAATTTCTGGATTACCATGTGTTACCTAACCAGGGGATATTTGGGTTAATAAGAGACGTTCTCAAAAGCAAAGTAATTGCACTATTTTTTAATGTATATATGTATGAAGCTTTTTAATTGGTGGTCCCCTTAAGAAGTTTACAGTCTTGTTTAGTTCATGGGTACTTCTGTTATTTACATAACCACAGTATTGGATTAGATTGCACCTTAATTTTAAAAATTTTTATAAGGTGGATGGTCAGGAATGATTTTGCCCACTAGTGAAATATTAATGTTTCCCGTATGAATTATAGAGATGTTTAACAGCCCCTGCATTACTTCAGAAGAATTCACAATAAGAAATGAATAAAGTTCCTTGTTGAACTTTTGAGCCAGGTGGAGAAATTGACCTTGCAAATGACGTTACCAAATAGGGGTTTTGTGAGGACACACAAGTATTGAGGAATGGAGACTTGAAGTACCAAAGCCATATTCATTTTTTATAGGCACCATCTGAAAGATGACTTCTCCTCTGGCATCCTCTGGCACTATGGTGGTACCTTAGGTAGATCATTGCTGGCTGTAATCCTCTCCATCTACATGTTATCAGCACTTTGCAAATGGTGTTTCACAGCTACTGCTATACTGCCTTTTGGTTTTGTTTTTGTATTTTGTGTTTGTATTTTATTTTTGTTTTGTTGGGTTTTTTCCCTTTGTTATCCAGGTAGAAGATGAAATATGGTCTCCTTCTGTTTCTAAAATTTCCCGCCTTCTTCTTTTCTTAACTACACTGAGGAAACTGAATCCCCACAATCTTAGGTTCGCTTTGGAACTGCAAGTCTGTCTGACATTGCTGTGTGTCTCTTTGCAGATACAGGCTGTATTACATTGTCCCAATATATTCTGCTGGATCCCATCCTAATGTTCTTTCTCATGGGAGCTGTTCTGAGTATGGTGAAATGTAACAGCTGTGCAGACAGGTGAGATAAGGATGATAATTTTATTAAACTATAGGTATTTAACTTTCACACGGTTAAAGTACATTGGTGATGTATGAACTGAAATAATTTCAGGAAATTTGAAGGTGAAAATGACTGTTGGTAGCAAAAAGAAATTTTTACTATGAGAGTTTGTGTAGTTAGGGAGAAAGTATTGTGACCAGAGTACACCAACTTACCTCTGACTGTAAGCACCTATAAAAATCCTGCTGTCTGAGGTAAATAGTGTAGTTTGTTTGGTCTAGAGAAATGGCTACAAAAACTTAGAGGGAAATATAGGCAGAATGATTCTGAATAAAGTAGTCAAGTTGCTGAGCACACTTGCCATAGACCCATGCAGAGAGGGTGGTGGTTTATAGGTATGGGATATGTTAGAAGGCTTCTTTGTGGCTGGGCTGTGCAGAGTAGTTTCGTTGAAATGCATCCCGAATTCAAAGACATTAAAAATCGAAATTCTGTGTTATGTATGAGCAGGTTTTATTTCATGAAACATTCAATAACTGATCATATCAATCTTAGTGTGTCTACAGTTCATGTGGCTGAAATGCAGCCTGCAGCATCATGTATGGTATCCAAGGCCATCCTTATCTACAGCACATTCCCCAGGGAATACAAGCACTAAATTACAGTGCTTGATCAGATCTGTGTGCCTTGACCTGAATTTATTTTTCATATCTTAGAACTAATACTCTTGTCAAAGCAGTTGATATTCTGCAAATTAAAAGCCAACTCTAGCTGCTGTGTTGCTTAGCAGGTCATGCGGATTTCGTCTAGTTGAAATAAAAGCATCAAGGAATTAGGAATCAGAAGGAAAAAGGTTTTAAAATCTACTGTAATTTTTTCTCATCTCTCTTCTATGATTCAATTTTATGTCAGTTTATAATTTGCTTGCTTTTTGCTGCAGCTTTTGTTTGTGTTTTGGATAGATGTTTTCTGCTAAGGCTTTCTTGCTTTAGTAAGGGTGGCTGCTCTTTGCTTCTTATTCTTTCCCATGTCCCTAAATTTTTGAGAAGTAACTTTGCACTTTATGGAGCAAAATTCTTTTTTCTGTTCTCAGAACTTCCATGTAGTCAGACTTTCTTCACACTAGTATTTTAGCTTATACCTCATGTCTGTGTTTCTGTCCTTGAATGGGAGATCAAGGGTTGCCTTCAGCTTAAGTGCACCTGAAGCCTGTATCAAGGCTTCACAAGCCTGGATCTGAAAGCAGTATCGTTGTGTGCCTCTAAACTAAATGAAAAACTAATTTGTTTTTCCACTTCTTATGGGTTCCTGAGAAGACGGACTGTAATTTTGTGGGTTAGCTGATTTGTTATTTATTTTTGTGATCACAGGCTGCCCATTCATGTAGCCATCATTTTATTTACTGACTTGCTCTACTGGTCCTGCAGGCCATTTTCTGCCTCCTGGTGGTTCTGGCTCAGTCTGACTGGTGTGAGCCTTGCTGGAGCAATGGGGGTAAAATTTGTTGGCCTTTTTGTAGTCCTCTTGGTTGGCCTGAACACAATCTATGACCTATGGGACTTGCTGGGGAACCTCAGCCTGTCACTGGTGAGTTTCAAAGGCTTTTCTTTACTTTAAGCGTTTCTTTGTTTTGTTTGCATTGTAATTGTCCTAGTCTTTGACAGCCCTGCAAGTACCCAGAGATACTCTGTCTGCAGCAAAGAGAGGCATCTGATGTGCGTGATGAAAAATGGAGATGAAGGTTATAATGAAAAAATTATTGCCAGACTTTTGAAAAAGCCAAACACACTTATATTGTCAGGACATAATAGTATATAAGCACAACAGAAAGATTGTTACTTTTTCCTAAGAGAATCTGCTACCATTCCAGTTGGCTAAATTTTCAGTCTAAGCTGGAAATGCTTATTTGGAATGGTTTTACAGTGGCTCAAAGCAAGATGTTGTCCAGCACTGTTACCTGTCCTTCCAAGGAGTGTGTGCTACCTGGCAGACAGGCATGTCTTGAGCACTTTCTTTGCATAAGCAGTGTGAGCTCAGGCTCTGCTTTGTGAGAGTAAGGGGACAGAGGCTACATAGCAGGAGCATCACAAGTCATAGAAATGCTCTGCAATCTCAGTATCCATAGCCAGTTAGGAGTATGAAGGCAGCCATAGCCTGCTTGATTTCACACACATTTAGTTCTTCTAAGCCCTAAAAAATTTGCTAGTGGGTTTGAGTATCCTGGTCTAATATGTATTGCATTTTATGTCTGCAAAGCGTGAAATCTGCTATTTGGAGAAACGCCTTGATGTACCATTTGCTGTCTTGCAACTGGCAGGAAGAAAAATTCTTCAGTCTTGTATTTTAAAAGGAGTTGAGTTCTCCTCTTGTCTCAGCCTCTTTTGAAGCTTGAAAATTCTGTTTCTTTCACTTACTGATTTTGTCTTGTTTGTCTTATAAACAGTGGGGGTATGGGAGGACTACTTCTATTCCTCCTGTGTGATTTGTTTTCTTTGATTAATGTGAATCAATATGGGCCGCAAAGATTCAATGTTCCAACTCCAGAGAAGCACTTTTGAGCAAAGTCAGTTAATTGCATTTGAAATAGAACAAATCCATCATGTCTTAGCTTTCTGCCAGCAGACAGCTGCACAGTGATTTCATTTGTGTTGCTGGCAGCAAACCCCTGAGTGTTAGAATATGTAAAGAAATTTACTCCAGAAGGTAGATGCTTTCTGAATAGCTATTTGGCAACCTTGGTGCTTGAGGAGAGGGAAAAAATGGTGAGGATTAATCTCCTGAAAGCCTGAATAACTTACCTCTGCATTTGTTAGGAAGCTACTCATGATTATGTACATGCAATTTTTTGGGGATTAACTTGATTTCTAGAATTCTCAGCTTGTGTTGGACAATTGTTCTGGTTTGCTCACTGCTGTCTTTCGCATACACTTTCTTTTTTTTTGACTTTGCATTGAAGTCTTTAGTTAAAGGAAACAATTTCATGAAAATTGAAGCATATTGAGGCCTTTTTAAGTAGGGAGCTGGAGGTTAATTCACGTGCCTCTCCACTGCCTATATTTGGTTATGTACCATAAAGCAGCATTTTTCTAAGTGTCCAGTGGTTATTAAGTGTTCTGCTGAAGTACTTGAACTGAACAAGTTCAGTTGTTGACATCAGTGAGTTTTGCAATGTATTCAGCTTTTTCCATTCCTTCTGAATCATTGGGTACTAAGGGATGGAGAATGATTACCTTAATGATTATATGATAGGTGTCATGTTAAAAAATACGGAGAACAGCAAATATATCTACTTTCATCCACTTTGAAGTTAGTGTGGGCATTTAGCAAACAGGTTTTTGCTATTTAATGTTTTTTCTTCTTCCACAGCTATTTAGTATCCACTCTCTTTTACATTATATATTCACTCTACTACCAGCAGTGTCAGTAGGTTCTGAAAATGTAATAGCTTCTTTGGCATCTGTTTGCAAAACACGTTTTTATTGGTTAAAGTAAAATATTTTGCATTCATTTTGGGACGTCTGAAGAACAGGTTTTGCTGCTGAGTTTTCTCTAGCTTCTGGCTGAGCAGTACTAGAAGTTGCAGTGTGAGGGCATCCTTGCTAAGCAAGGTGACTTCTTTTAAGTGAAGCATACCTAGATCCCCAAGATGTCCTGGTTATATTCACATTTGCATAGACTTGTTGGGGGAGCAAATTTTCATTTTTCCTCTTGCTTAGCTTTGGTAGTTACTATTTTGATGTCTTTGCTGGGAGTTTGGGTCAAGATGTGTACCACTGATAAATTAAGGTCCTTTCTCTCCAAGTATTTTCAATGGCGGCCGCCCAACCTCCTTTGCCAAAGTTAGGGATGCTCAGCACTTTGGAACGCTAAAATCTCCCATTGCCTGTTTTTGTCTTTTTTCCCATGACCCTAGGATTTTGAGGTACCATAGCTCCAGCTTTTGGAGATACACAGCAAAGTCTGCCTCAGCTTTTAGCTTTCCCTGAGCCTTTCTGAGATAATTCTGCAGCCTGGTGGGCTTTCTTGCACAGCAAGCTCCAGCTATAGGACTGCTGCTCAGTCTTGTGAAATAAGGAGCAAAGTTGTTCCTGCACTGATCCAGATTGTGTTTGTTACAGGTCATGTTTGGGAAACATTTACTGGCTCGTGTACTCTGCCTCATCGTGCTCCCACTTGCCCTCTACACGGCTATGTTTGCTGTTCATTTTGCAGTGTTAAATAGAAGGTATTACACAACGTTTTCTCCAGAGGAATTACTTGTCTTTGCTTTGAATTAAAGGCTCTTGGTTATACAGTGCTCCACTTTCAGTGTCAGAAGCACAACCACAAACTGTGTCTTTTTTTTTTTATTCCTTTCCCCAACTCTCTGGCCAAGCTGGCAGTGAAATTGAATTTGAGCTTGAGACTTTCTGAAATGCCAAACAAGTAACCTAACCAAACTTCCTGTCTCATTTTTTTTCTCTTCTCTTTCTGGGACCTGAAAATGTCTCAACTCTATTCTTTGTCTTTTTGTAATTTAAAAAAAGTCATTGTATTCCTGAAAAATAGCTGTGATTAAGAGTCTAGTGTGCCTGAAGGGAGGGCTCTTTCTTGAATGCTTGCAGCCAAGGGATGCTTTTTGTAAGGAAAGAGCTTGTAATGTTTTCCATATGCCAGCATTAAAAAATGAGGTGAATAAGCATTTCACTGTAAAGAAAGAATAGAAAAATAAGTATTGTTTTTCAGTTAAAGTTGACTAGTCTTACCACTAACCTCTTAGCAGAAGTAAGACTACAGGAGCCACAGAGAAAGGCTTTGTTATAACTGTCCTGATAGCAGGTCAGTTTATTTGTAAGAACACCTCTAAAGACAGTTCTGATGCTTTGTGCAGTGCCAGCATGTACATTTTTATGACCTCAAGCCCTTGTAGCTCTGGACAATTTCCTGCAAGACTGTCTGTCCGCTGTGATTCACAGCATTGGAGAAGTGTGCCTCTTAAGGGAACTGCACCCACTCTTCTTCTTCAGATGCCCAGTCTGCTTTTATAATTTTTTTTTCTGTAAAAACAACGTGGTAATGCATGACAGATATTTATATGCTGTTTAGTGAGACTTTGAATTGTCATATTCTTGCTCTTTTTTGTAGTGGTCCTGGGGATGGTTTCTTCAGTTCAGCTTTTCAATCGCAGCTGATTGGGAACAATCTTCATAATGTCTCCATTCCAGAGCGTGAGTGTCCAAATGAATAAAGCACTCTGAATGTTGTCAGTGTACATGAGAACTTAAATAAATGTCCCCGTGACTCAGTGCAGGGCAGTGTGAATTATGCCTTCCATGGTCAAGATCAGATCCATGCTCTTCCTCTGTGCAGTTTTATGTATTGACAGAAAGAAAAAGGCTGAAAATACCACCATGTTCAGTGCATGGTCACTAGTTGTTTCATCATATTCCATCTAGTGGGAAAGATGCCATTTTGAGGGGTTTGACTTTGTGCATGGATCTTGTTATTCTTTGGTTCTATATTGCTTGAGACAGCAAAAAGATATTTTTCCTATTCACCTTAGATTTGTAGGTATTCAGGTGTGAGATTTGTTTCCAAAATATGTGTAAATGGAAACTATCAACTTTTGTGACACAAGTGTGCCACTAATCCAGCTGTGTTGTATTCCGAATGCATCCAAATTTAGAAGAAAGAGGGTTTTGTGGTTGTTCCCTAATTCTCAGGTTGGCTAGGGACTGAGCCTTTAAAATGGTTCAGCTTTCTGATTACTTCAGCTTTTTTCTGGCTGTTCCCTGCTTCAGAGCTATCACTGGGGAAGCATCAGGTCTGTTCTCCAAGGCTGAGTTTTCTCACTTGCATTATGGGGCTAGGAGGGAAGATGTCTTAAGTCAGTGTATCAGCTCTGCTATCCCATAGCTGAGCTTGCCTCCCTTCTCTCTTGTATTGCTGTAGGGGTCAGCAGTGTTTTAATTTGACTGTATACTCCTGGGGAAAGCTATCTCAAAACTCTCATTATGAAATTACAAACAAAGGAATGCTTTACCACATCTATGTTAAAACTTAGTGGGAGAGTTTTAAGTGTTTCAGCCAAATGTTACATAACAGTTTCACTGAATCCTGGTTAGGGATGGGAGAAAGCTTGCAATGAGCCCTGTGGAGTAAGGTGTCAAACAGGAAACAAACTTCCATCAAAACAATGGAGAATGCAGGCCTAATGGAGCACTATAGACTGGCTGGGGGAGATACAGGAGAGCTGCCTTATGTCTTTTTTCCTCCTTCTTTCTCATGCAGATTTGGCATATGGGTCTGTGGTCACAATGAAGAACCTTCGGATGGCAGGGGGATACCTTCACTCCCACTGGCACCTCTATCCAGAGGGCATTGGGGCTCGCCAGCAGCAGGTTGGTGTGCTGTGACTATAGCCACTGACTTACTCTCTTTGCATTTAGCATTAGGGGCCAAACTGGTAGGAGCTATGTGGTTACTCAGGATCTGTTGCCCTCTCAGTGCCACAGCTGCGCTCTTGTCTTGGAACTCTGACTTAAAAGGAGGCTTGAAGAGAGCCTACCACACTGCACCAGACAGGTAACTTAGAGTAACAAGGCTTTGCAAGACCTCTATCCATAAATGGAGTCCAAGAGGACTTCAGAATAGTCTTCCATAATAAAGATACCTCAAGGAAGGTTGTAAAACTTTGTTTAAAATAAGAACGTTATCTTACAGCTTTTCTGACTGTATATTAAAAGCAAGAGAATAGAACTGCTGTATATTGTTTTTACTCCAGCCACTGGCCTCTGTGACCTTACATGAATCTCTCTCCTTAGTGCCTTGCTTCCTTCATCTGTCACCAAAGAATTTGTAATGCTTTGCTCATTAAATTAGATACTGTATGTTTGTAAGCCAATGTAGCCATATGGAAACCATCTGAACTAAGGGCTTCTCATTAAGTGCAATTAGTGAAAGCAATAAGCAATTAAGTGAAAGTAGAAATCAGAAATCATGCAACTATCTCTAATTAAGAAGTACAAACATGAAGAGGATTTCTTATTTTTGTCCTTCATCATCAAGCTTCACAAATCTTTGCTGATTCTGCACTTTTACCAAAATGTATTCTGCAGTTTGATTATTGGTGTCTAAAAATTGTTTTGAGATCCTTGAAAGAAAGTTGCTAGAGAAACACAAGTGTTTGGGTTTTAACTCCCTGCTGTCTCTGTGGCTAGTAGGAAGTTTTCAGAAGTGAAAACTTTGTCTCGGATCTTTTTTTCCTGCTGGTGGTCACAATCAGAATTTCTAATACTCTAGCATGACATTAATGTTTGTTGCAGTATATGGAGATGTCATGCAAAACTGCCTCAAGCGTAGGCAAAATTGAAGTGCAGATCATGCTTTATGACAGTAAAAACAGGGAAAGGCAATTTGGAGAGGACACTAATGGGAGTTCCTCATGGAAAATGGGACAGGGTGGAGATTTCCCCCCTGTGCTCCCTGTCCTGGTGGTAGGACAACAGTAGGGTTCTAGGGCAGTTTAAGGGCTTTGGAGAGGGGAAGAGAATTTAGAACTCAGAGGAGATTTAGAGAGAAAAAAGTGATCCCTCTGCTTTCACTTTCCCCTCCTCTCCTGATGGCTTGACCTCAAGGTTCTACCTCCAGCTCTCCTTTTTCCCCATCGTCAAACACTCCTCTCTGTTCTGCCTCTCACCCACCCACTGGGCCATCTGCTCCCACCTGAGAGAGAGGCACAGGTGGGGCACTGGGCTGGGGTCCCACAGAGCAGGGCTTGCTGCTCTCTAAGGGGAGGGTGGGTGAAGGGAGTACAGCCCCACATGCTCTGAGGAGCAGCAGCTTGGAATAAGATGGTCTTTGTGTCCATGGTAGCAGTAGATACAGTTACTCTGTGAGGCTGAGCAGGCTGGCAAGGGTTAGCTGTGTGGGATGTGTGGCTGTTATGAGTGATCTCTGAATCCTTACCTTGCCTGGTTCCTTTGGCAGATATTATGGTTGTCACAGTCAGCTTGTTTTCCTAAATCTCTACTGTGTAAAGCCAGTGCTGCTTCTATCGCCTGGTTTGGGTAGTGGTCAGTGATTATTCAAGAGCTCTGGTTTGGATATTCTGTTGTTGTAGAAGGAGCATCTGGAACAGGGTGAGAGGACGTCAGACTGTATTTGGAGGCTGATGGTGCATGTGAGCTGCCATGAAGTGTAGTGCTTCTGAATATGGGCTATACACTGACTAAGAGGTGTGCTCTGGGTTGAGTGACCCATAACTGGTTTCCTAGGGGGCAATGTCATCAAGGTAATCCCAGGATTTCTCTGTGGTTGGTGTATTCATTTGGGGCTTTGGTTTGCTGGATGTGTGACTGCTATCAACAGCTTTTTTTCTTGTTAGGTAAAATAATTAATCCTGTCATTTCAGGTCACTGCCTACTTACATAAAGATTTGAATAACCTGTGGCTCATAAAGAAGCATGATTCAGATACAGGTAACAAATACCAGTAAAGTGCCTTTTATAACTGCTGCTTCTGTTTTTCACAATATCCTGAGTTCTTTCCAGGGCAGAGTATCCTTCATGGATATGAGGGGGAGAGGAGGAAGAGCAAGGGGAAGCTGTCTCCATCTTGATTTACATTGTGTGTGTCTACTGTGTTTTTGGTTCTTCTCCAGGTGGTATAGCTGAAGTAAATAAGCTTTTCTTAGCTGAAGGTTGCATTGACAATTTTTCAGCTGTTTAAGGCTGCAAAAAACAGCAGAGAAGAAATTCGTCTGAACTGAGTTAATGTTTTTTGCAATCTGTTATTGTGGCTAAGAGTCTTGGGAAAGCTTGGTCCTGTTACAGTCTGGTACATTGTGTTTGACAGATTTTTGTGGATGATTGCTTGGGACAAGATAAGAGTATTGAATGTGATGATCTGTGGTTTGTACAGAATGCCATTGGTTTGGATTATGTAGTGTATGTAGCTGAGGCATGCTTGGTCTGGCAGTTTCCTTTTTTTTACCTGCTGCATGTGTTCATAAAAATTAACAAGGAATAGTCTAAAGAGCAAAAAATGTGAAAAACGTAGATATATAAGAAAAACTATAATCAGTGTTGCAAGAGTCGTTTATAGTTCACATTCTTTGGAGTAGTTCTCAGGGTTAGAGTCTAGAGCAATGTTTTACACCAGGCTTAGAGTCAACACAACTTTGCTTGATTATCTGCTTGAGGCTCGAGCATCAGCAAGAAACTTTCTAAGAACCTGGTAACTTTGTCAGTGCATTGATATGATTAGTTCATCTTCCTTCTGCAGATCTGTCTGACCCCTCAAGCCCTGTGGAGTTTGTGAGGCATGGAGATATTATTCGTCTGGAACATAAAGAGTAAGGATGATTTCTGGGATTCAAAGAGACTGTGTGATTGAATAGATTGGTGGGAGACTTGTCCTGCTGCAGACTGTGGTTAGACGAGCACAAGCAGGCTGTGTGACAGAGGTATCTGTATATCTGAATTTCCAGTGTCAAGTTTGTAGAGTTTTTCTTCTATGGTTTATGTTTTGAAAAGTGTCTATTAAATGAGAAACTTTTAAGAGAACTACACAACTTCATTACAACTACCTACCCAAGCAGCAGGGAGATTTGTTCAGTTGTTCGATAATCAGGGTAACTCTTCCAGAGAAGCAATTTCAAAACCCTCGTTCTGTTGCCTGTGTCCATGCTGAATTTTCTAGACAAATAGAATATCAGGGTTTTTTGTCAATGTACTGCAAGCATCCTGTTCCTCTGTTCATAGGCAGTATCCACCCGCTGAAGTTCTCAACAGCACTGAGATCATACCAGCTCAATGCTTTCAATGACAATGGGAGCTGATCCCTTCCCTTTCTGCAGGAAATACCTAGGAGGAAGCGGGGGAACCATAGTGACTTGATATTTAATCTTTGTCTGATCTAATGTCACTGTGCCAAAATGCTCTGTGCTTTCACAGCTTTGATTTCTTAACAGAACCTCTAAACTCATGAGCCAGAAAATCATGTATTGTATTCAGTATGGCAGATGCACAAATCATTGCTTAGGTTTCCAAAATGATTGTAAGACTTATTTTTTTAAATTTTGAATTTGGGAGTCTACTGTCAAATATATGGTAATGAGGATGATAAAATCTTGGTTAACCAAAATGGGTTAAGAGGTCTCTGGCATAGGAGTTGGTGGTGCTTGGGAAGGATCTGGCAGGTGTCACAGGGACAGCCGTGTCTGTGCCGATGGCAGCAGTGCCTTTGGCAAGGACTGACAGGCTATGGCCAGGTTTCTCTGGTTGCCTCAGTTGGCAGACCCTGCCAGGGTGGGAGGCTCTTTCTCTGCACTGTGCTGGTGCTCAATGGTGGCCACTGATTTCCCCCTAAATGGTACAATATTTCCCTGCAAAAGCAAAACTGCTAATCACAAAAGGTCAGGATCTTGCTTTTCTTCTTATAAGACAGGTCTCTGTCACACTTTTACTGTTAAATAAAAAAAACCAAAGCAGAGCAAACCAAGACAAATTTCTTCCTTTTAGAGGTGGTAGACTGTAGTTTGAGGGTTGCATTTATTCGTGCTGTCATCCATTTCTGTCACTGCCCAGTGTGGCATAAGCTCAGAGTCACATGCTGGGAAGTGACAGTTTCACTCCATGTCCCCCATCCGGTTAAGGCTGCATTCTACTGTGCCCTCAGCTGGAATTCAGTGGTTAGAGTACTGGCAGATCTCTGAATGGCTCAAACCAATGTTTTTATCACAAATTGACAAGGTTCAAAGGTTTGACTTTTAATTTCATTTCAGAACTTCTAGAAATCTGCACAGTCACCAGCATGAGGCTCCCCTGACAAGGAAGCATTTTCAGGTCACTGGCTATGGAATAGTAAGTGAAGGCGAGATAAAACAAAAGCTTCTTCTTTTGGGAAGAGTTCATAATCATGCCAAGGAAATTTATTGTTGCTTTTTTTAGTTTGTTAGCCAGGATGATAGATGAACATCTGCCATCCTCAAGGAAAAAACTGATGTAGTATGAAATGCCTTATCTTATATTTAAGGTCTATTTAATGTGAACACAGATAAAAAAATAATTTAAACTTTTACTGTCAGTCTAGCTTTGGCAGCATTCAGCTCCAGAAATGACAAACTGAGCAACCTTGAAGTTGCTCTGACAAGCATTATTTTATGTATTTGGCCTTGTCACATAGACAAGTGTTTTTGTGACAGAATGATGACAGAATTTTGAATCACAAAGATGAAATATGCTTTGAGGGCTGAATTTCTAAATGCAAAGATCTGTTGCCTAAACCCCTTCTGTGAAGCAGCCAAGTTGCCCCTGTTTATGTTGTAACTCTGAGCTACAGTCAAGAATGAATTCAAGGGAAACAAAATTAAGGTTGGCAAGATAGAGATGTATTTGTGAGTGGTTGCTTATATCTAGAATGATGTCTTCCTGATGGGGAAATCTCTTCTTTGAAGTGTGAGTGAGGCTGGTCTGGGCTAGTTTTTTTAGCTTTGCACCCAATGGACTTTCAGAATTTCCTATTTGCAGTGCTCCAGTTCTGTGTGTCTTCTAGTTTGAACATTGTTTCGTTTCTTTTTTCTATTTTTGTGATTTTTTTTCTCCAATGGTGTGTTTGCATGATAGAATGGAACAGGAGACTCCAATGACTTCTGGAGGATTGAAGTGGTAGGCAGAAAGACTGGGAAGCTCATCAAAGTCCTACGGAGTCAGGTCAGGCTAACCCATGTGGCCACAGGGTGTATATTGGGATCTTCTGGAAAGACTCTGCCAAAATGGTAAGTGGTTTGTAATCCCTATCCACCCCTGCAGGGCCGTGAGCTGACATGATCCTTTACTCAATGGTACTTTTAGACTAAGCAAAAACTACATTTCTTCTGTTTCTTTAAAAGAATAAAAATGTAACTAGCAGGTACTAAAAATATGACCAGAGAGGAAGATCTGGGTTAGGGCTATGCAGTCTGTTACAGTGAAGGTATAAGGCTCTGAAAAATAATATCCCTTATTATGAGATCCAGGAGTGGCGTGGACATAGATCTTGTCATCTGGTAAGGCCAGGAGGGGATGACAGACATATTATTTAATCCTTGGGGTTTGCAAAAATCACTGGAAACTGGGGCAGTTCATGCTGTTCTGTACCACAATCTTCAAAATTGCTTTCTATTGGTATTAATTTACCTTGTTATTAGAAGATCTTTGCAATTTTTGCATGCAGCATCTGAAGCGAGGCAGTGGTTACAAGCTGCTAATAGCAGGGGTTGGGATTTTTTATGTCCTTGAATTACACATCATCATTCAAATGAGGTGTATGCAGAGACATCCAGGCTGATGCCAAGCAAGCTGCCCTGTCAGTAAAGCTGCACCATGTGGGATGCTGACATGGATCCTGAGGCAGAGGCTGTGCATTCATGTTGCTGCTGTTTCGAGAGCTGCCTCCCTTCCTGCTGCTCTAGGTTTCCCTTCACTGTGTTGTGGTAAAACCAGATTCTAAGGAATCCTGTGGATGCTGAATCATAGCGCAGGCAGGTACCTCTGGCAACTGCCTGGCCAGGAGTGCAAATGCCACTTAGACATCACCATAAAACTGGGCTCATGGGTACATAATGTGTTCAGCTAAAAAAAAAAAGCCCATTTCCATCAAGAGCATTCAAAAAACTTTGTGAATTGGGTTTTTTTCCCAGTAACATTTTACTATCTGAATGGAAATTATTGCCACAAAATATTGATGATAGTAACAGCTAAGGGGGAAAAAATACTTGTTAACTGCAAATAAGAATGGTTAGAGTATATTGGATTTTTATATTTTTTAGTTTAATGGGTAGTACTCACTGTCCTTCAGATAATTTAATGGTAATTATTTAATGAATTAATTAGTGAAAATTAATTAGTGAAATTTGCTAAGTGGTGATTGATAGAAAATTCCCCATTAATCTGTCATATTACTGCCTGATTTGATGCACTTTCTCCCAAAGTCTTTAATGTGACCTGCTAGACATAGGATGGTAGACTAAAGAACAGTTATTAGTATTCTCTAAGGTAATTATTTTGTTTCTGTAATACAGTTCTTATAGATATGGATTGACTTAAATTAATAGTGGTGATTTTCTTTGGAGGGACTATAAGGGTTAAATTGGAAGTATTTTCTAGTTGGCAAGGTGCATAAGTTTCAAAAATCTCACATATCCACCTAGGGCTTTTTAGGTGAGAAAGTGAGAAATTTGGTTCAACTATTCTGTAGAATTTTGATGTCAACTGCCTTGCAGATCTGTTTTGGTTTCTACATGGTTCTTATAGCACGTAAGAATGCAACTGCTGAAGCATTACAGAGAAGTATAAAGCTAAATGGAGAAAAACTAAACACAAAATGGAAATATTGAGTGTTCCTGTGGGGTGGTGGTGAACTGTTCTGCTGATCCTCAGGGGCTGGGAACAAGTAGAAGTCACCTGCACACCATACCTGAAGGAGACACCCAATTCCCTCTGGAACTTTGAAGATCATATTAACCCTAAATGTAAGTAATTGATTTTCTTTTTGATTGAGAGTGCATCTTGGCTTGCTGTTAAAGGAAGGGATGAGCAGTAGCTGACATTTTGTATTTGAAGCATTTGTGTGCTTACCCAGTTTAAGTGCAAACTTGCTGAACTTGAGTATGTGCAGAGATGCAGAGCCCTTTTCTATTTCACTGTTTGTACTGAAAGCTGATGATAATGCTTGAAGTGTAGTGGAAGTATAAAGACTTTTTTAAGGATTTTGAGATTTTAATGTGTTACAGAAGTGTGAAGCACTCCAGTACAGGCTGTTATTTCTAACATTGTTTAATTGGGAATTGTTGTCATTGGTATGAGTATGCCATATATATTTCAATGATTTATAAAAGAATCTTGGATCCAGTCTGTTCTGGTGTATTTTTTCCTTCTCCTGCTGGGGGTGTGCTGAATGATGACTTTTGCAGTACCGTCAAGAAATGAATAGCGTGTGACAGAGATCTAAGTTTGCCAGTAATGACAAGTGGGTCTTGAAGCCTCATCCAGGAGTTACATATGTTTCACAGGCTCATCTGGCCTGGGTTGTTCAACACAGTTTTCATCCCATGAATTTCAGGTGACTTGGGCTGAGTTCTGAGTTAAAACACTTACTGTTCTTTCTCCTGTGAGAGCAGCTGTATGCAAACCAAAGGAGAGAAATCCTGGGCTGTTGACTTGGTAGAATTTCCTCTTCTGTTGTAATGCATTTTGCATTCCTATGCTTATGGCTTATTTACAGATAAACAGCAGCCTATGAAGAATGTGTCTCTAATTTTAGCTAGAACTACAGATCTATTTATTTCACGGACTTTTATATATTTCTATTACTCCTAGAAGTAAAGGAGGAAATTTAGAAGTACAACAGTTGTAAAGTTCACTGGGGGATGCTTCTGACTGCAAGCCACTGTGTTTAGAGTATGACTAAATTGCATAGAGAATTAAAAGAGGTTCTGGAAGCAGATTTGTTGTAGGAGGAGAGAGTTTAGTTTATTATGAAAAAGGCAAATAAAAGTAAACCATACAAACTTCTAATCTATTTTTCTCTCTTTTTTTTGAAGTGCCCAATATCAGCCTGGATGTTTTGAAGCCTTCTTTTGCAGAAATTCTGCTAGAATCCCACATGGTTATGATCCGGGTAGGATATAATTGATTCCAGATTATAATTTTCTTCCTCTTCTCTCTTGCATTCAAAAAGAAATAGCACTTTTTAAGAGATCTGGGTGATGGCTGCAAGCTAGGGCAGAATTTGCATGCCCAAGCAACCTACTTGAATTTATACTTAGAAAAAAGGTTGGTCTCAGAGCTAAATCTTCCAAGTCCAAGTTTGGCAGCCTTGGGTTTAATGCCTCGCTCTGCTGTTGGTGTGATCTATCTACAGCCTACTTATGCAATGTTTTCCCTACCTTCCTGTAAGGCTTTAAAGGAAAATTAGTCTTTGTGAGGCAGGGGGATATTACTGTGGTCAAAATCAGAAAAATCAGCTAAACAGACACTTAAAAAACCAGTAAGTGTTTGGATTTAAAATGGGAAACTTCTGATTTTTTTCAAGTTCATCAAGGAGCTGTGATTTCTGGTTTTCCTTTTTATCTCTGAATATATATTTTTTAAGAATAAAAGGTTTAATATTTGCAAGGTGGACTGCTCTTGCAGTCTTTTCCTATGATTGTTCTTTGTACTTTTGGCCACAGCCCTTCTGCTTCCATCTCCTCGATCCTTCTGAAGAATGAGAAGTCAATATTTTGAGAAAGAAGTCTAGGGTATTCTTTGCTACTGTTTGTGAATTTAAAGAGAAAAAAGTAGTCATGCACATTATTCTTAGTACTTGTAAAGTGTTTTTGTAAAGCGTTTCCAAGGCAATCAGTGATAATGCTGTCTCAGGTGAGGAAGCACCTGCATGAGTTTCCATGGAAATAATCTTTGAGGCTTTTTTTTTTTCGTAGTGGAGGGAAACCTGTCACATTAGTCTATAATGAAAGAAGGTCTTGCTTATGCAACATACATCCTCAGTGGCAGAAAAGCTGAAGAAGAGAAATGAGAGAATACTGCCTCTTTTGCTACCCAAAAACCATTTTCATGTGCACAGTAGTATTAAAACATTCATAGTCCTAATTGTGCCCATTGTGGAAGATGATGTGTTTAAGTAGATCAAAAAAGAACATTCTCTCAGGAAGGGTATTGATGTATGTTTGTGTACACAGACATTTCTGGCCAGACATTGCAACATATCTGCCTGCTCATTTAAATTTTATGTTGATTTATCTGTAGGGAAACAGCGGCCTCAAACCAAAGGACAATGAAGTTACATCCAAACCTTGGCACTGGCCCATCAACTACCAGGTATATTGATCAGTCAATATTCCCTTCTATTTTCAAGTGCTTTTGCAGTGCCTTTTGAAGCACAACACCTTGTAATTGCATTGAAGATGTTATGTTGTTAACTCTCTTTTGTAGTACCTGAGATGCATGGATGGGAATTTGTCTCACCTTAAGACACTGTGCAAAATACCGACTGGTCTGATGAATATCTGTTTTTCTTTCTTCTGATCTCTTTCCTCAGGGGCTGCGTTTTTCTGGTGTCAATGAGACGGATTATCGGGTTTATTTGCTTGGAAACCCGGTAAGTTGGAGTGAGAAGTTCCAAGCCAATGTCTTTAGCAAATTTTAGCTTAGTCTTGGTTCTGCCAGTTCTCTTCCTTCTCCTTTAGGACTGTCTCTCTTATTGTACTCTTAATGTTTGCATGTCACATGCATATGTACAGCATAAAGTCCCAAATCTTTCTTTTCTTTTGTGTAGGTGATATGGTGGCTAAATCTGGTCACTATTGGGTTATATCTTCTGATAACACTTTGCACTGCAGTGGCACTGAAGAGAGGTGTCCAGCTGACATCTGAACTCAAAGGTGAGGTCAGTCTTCTTTTTCATAAATGGCTTTTGCAGGAACCTTAAAAGTGTGTGGATGGCAGGACTTTGTGTGTCAAGGGTGGGAAACCACTGAGCTTGGATTATCAAGCAGCGTCCACAGGGAAAAGAGTGGGAACTTCACAGCTGTAGTTCAATAGTGAACACCACAGATCTTCTACAAAAATAGTGCATGGCTACTTACATTGGCTGCAAAGGATAGAGGCCAATTATCAGTGCTCTGCTATCAAGCTCTGCATGTGCTCTGTACTCAGTAGTTTGCACAGTGTTTTAAGATAAGAAATGTTTTCTGATATTTACGCAAAGCAAATGACAAATACAAGAGATAATTTTATCCTTTATTATGTCCATTGCCAAGGTTTTGGAGCTTTTCACAAGCCCTAATTAGTCATACTTTCACCATTCCTGTTTACATCGATGGTTGCTTCATTTTGTAGATCTCTTTACAGAAGAAGTCAGTTCTAAAATGTGATGGGAAACTACTCAATTATACAATAAGTTATTGGTTAAGCTGCGTACAGACATCAGAGCTCTTAGTCCCTTCCCCAGGCTCTGAAAGCTAGGTACCACTTCTTTCTAGGAAGGGCAGACAAAGTGATGATCAGGATGGCTCTCATTGCAGACAATGAAGATCATCAGAAACCAGAATCACCTGAATTAGTCTGATGCACATCTGGAGAAACTGCACATTTGGTCTTAACATAGAGCATGGTCAGCCTCCTGCCATACCTTGAAACTTAGGTTTTTGTATATCTCTTCTGATAGCTGTTCTCCTGAAGAGTGCTTGTATGTTTATAAAGAATGCAGCTAGGATGTTGCAGAGGCTTGAAGCTATTTCAGACCAATACATGATTTCCTGCAGAGATATTCCTGTTGAGTTTACTTAGTGTGTTAAGGTTTGCAAATAGGAACTGTAGCTGAGTTTTTCTCTGCTGAAGTCTGTTTATTTGTGTTCCAGAACTGTCCAGAGTTGTGCTACGAGCTGGAGGGCAGATCACACTGGGCTGGCTCCTTCATTACCTCCCTTTTTTTATGATGGGACGAGTTCTCTACTTCCACCACTACTTTCCTGCAATGCTTTTTTCCAGCATGTTGACAGGTAAATACTAGAGTCTTGGAGAAGACAGGGTAGCGAAAAAGGTGATATTCTGTTAAATTAAATGTTTTGCGGCCTAAAAAGTTTTATTTTTATAGGCTTTGTTTACCTGTGCAAAGTGCTTGAAAGCTTTGACTTACTCAAAATGTTTTTCACAAAACAGTTTGCAGTGTCAATTTTTTATTTGTCTATTTGGTTTTGTTTTTTTGGTGGTGGTTGGTTGGTTGATTGGATGGTTGGTTGGTTTTTTGGTATTACCCTGGAAAGGCAGTCATGTCTAGTGCTTAGGGAATTTAAATTTAGACATGGGGTTCCTAGTCTCTGCTATTTTACTGTTCTTATATATTCTTGTATGTAAGTTACTTCCCTCTTGGTTTACTGCCAACACGTTTCAGTCGTGTCTGTTTGTAATTTGGCCTTGATAGTTTTTCCTGTGATTTTATACCAACTTCATTAGCATCTGGGGCCCAGGTCTCTTTTATTCAAATGGAAAGGTAGAACAAAAAGAACCTTTGCTGATCTCTATGGTTCTGAAGGTTACCAAGGTAAACGAATTTAAAAACTGACATGGTCTTTTCGTGTTAACAGAGTTTCATTAGCTTGGTCTGTGAACATATCAGCTCTGTTCTCCTGACTTCTATCTCTTCCTTCTCCTAGGAATCACCTGGGATGCACTACTGAAGTTCTGTGCTGTGTTCTTGTCATGCAGCACTACAGCTAGAAAGGTATATGGAGGTGGATTCCTGGCACTGGTTCTGCTCATCCTGTACAGGTGAGAGTTAAAAGCTGAACTTTTCATGAATGGAATGTGTGACGGTTGCCATATCAATAGAAATTTTGCTGCCTGTTAATTATCCTTAGCCATTCTCTTCTCTTCTCTTCTCTTCTCTTCTCTTCTCTTCTCTTCTCTTCTCTTCTCTTCTCTTCTCTTCTCTTCTCACATCCTCAAGGCCAATCCTAAACCTTCAAATTTGATTAGATTCAGCATCTATGTCCCAGTAATGCATTATAGAACATCTCTCCATTGCAGGGAATCTTTCTTTTGTTGCAGGATGCAGTGTGAGCACTCTATTCTCCTCCAAACCGCCTTTCAGTGCTTTGTGGTTCTAATCCCAACGATGGTGACATATTCCTCAAATACAAGCAAATTTGTCATTACTGTAGGTTTTATCAGATTCTGAGAGAAAATACTACGTGTGATAACTGTGTTCTATGTATATATTGGGTTCAGCAGAGATTAGAAGGTTCACAGTAGAGCTTAGAGCAGCCTGAAGACAAAGATCCCATAGGCTGTGAACTTCTAGAGAGGGAAAACTGTGCTGTGTTTGATGGGCGTTTGGTTTCTTTCCACAGCTTCTACCTCTTCCATCCACTGTCCTATGGGATGATAGGACCCATGGCCACCAGCCCTAACAGCCCCATGGCAGGGCTCCGGTGGATGGACTCCTGGGAATTCTAGAGCAAAGGAAGCCTGGGAGCAGCGGATCAGAAACAGGAGATCTGCTGCATGTCAGGCTGATTCTGGTGCTTTGAAGACATGACTATAAAATGCCCTCTCTGGAGAACTCTGGGTATAGTAACCCTGTTGCTTTGTCATTTGTTTGCACTGCCTGCATTGGAAGATGCAGAGGATGAGAAGGTCCCCTTAAATTAAGAGACTCATGTCCTGAATCCTTAGGTTATATTAATGGACAACTGGCTGCCTAAATGCCAATTCCTTGAAGCAGTATATGTCAGTCAAACGGCAGTGGCATTCCAGCAGCCAGACCAGTACAGGTTGGAGGCTGTCTGCAGTTGCATGTACACTGTGTGTGTGTGTGTTTCTTCCTTCTTGTAATCTAAGCACCACTACAGTTTGAAGCACTATAGGACTTCTATCATGATTAACAACATTTCTTATGGTGAGATTTTCAAAAGCTTACTGTAAGTATCTGGGGACCTTCATTCTACCTGCCTTGGCTATTTGAAGGTTTTTTTGTTCTGACCCTGGAATTTTAAAATTTGACTGAAAGGGTCTGTTTGAAATCTCCTGAGCCATTGTGCCTTGCCTGTCTCCCAGGCCCTCTGCAGAGATGGAAATTGTTTATTCCTATATATTGCCTTGCTTTCTGGTCACCTTTAATAATTTATACAACTCACCTAGTAGGTCTGTTTTCAGGGCCAGACTGTTCCAGCTCAGCTCTTTGTAGCTTCTTTCAGTTCTGTCTGAAGGTGCCAAGGAAATTACAGTAGAAATGGCAGGTGATATATTTTCAGCCCCCTGAAAATTTTCATTTTCAGTATGCCATGGAGACCAGCATGAGGATGTACTAGAGACTGTAATGATAGCTTGAAAATCTTACAGCTGTCATTCAGCTTTTGTTCCCAGCTATTTCAGTGCCAGTGCCTGTGCTTTTAGGGGAAGGCTTCATTTCAATGCATGTGGCATCTGCAAAATTGGCTGCTGGTGCCAAAGTATCTGCTCAGTGTTCCATATTGAAAAAGTTCCTTCTCTAGACTGCTGAACATCAAATTACAAGGAAATGTGAGGACAGGCAAAAATTCTTTGTCTGTGAAGTGTCAAGAGCTATTGGATGATGAATCCACCCCTTCCAAGAAAGCAGAATTTGATTTATCAGGTGCCTTTGTCCTGTGTTAGGTCTATTTTTGTCTATGTTTCTTTTATTCTGTTTCCTACTCTTCATCCAGTGTCTATTTCCTGTCACAGTTCAAGTTGCTACCTTGTAGCATCCTACATGAATGACACTTAGATCATAGCTGTATTCCTATCTCAGGAAGTAATATTTTAAAAACTCTTTTGTGTATGTTTCAATTAACTCATGCCTTTAATTTCAGAGTTCTTGCTTTTCTTCACAGCCTTGCATCAAAATTACAGGTAGACAGAGAGTAGCAGGTCGGTGTGTCTGCCTTTATACATGGACTGTGCATTTATTTCTCTTACCAAATCTTGGATTCCAATACATTTCCTGCCACACAGAAGGGCTGCATTAGCGTAGTTAGTTGTTCTGTGGGGAGGGACTAGACTCCAGTCAGACTTGCTTTGGTTCCTCTTTAATAGAGATCCATAGCATTGTTCAGTAAGGCAGCTGCTTGCTTTGTAAGGCTCTGGCTTGGTGTGTCACATCTCTCAAGAAACTGATTCCTGTAGATGCTAGCTCAGATGGGATGGACCTGTGCTTTTGATTGTAAAGGTTTTGAGTTGGTCACCTGCTGCTTATACATGGTGGGAAGTCATAGCAGTAATTAGCTGCTGGGTTTGATGATTCTTTTCCACTTGTTATTGCAGGAAGTGCTCCTACCTGCATGAGCCAGGGGTTCACAGAGGTGATATATAGGCAAGACTGTCGTGGGGGAAGGCTGCAAACTTCTTCAGAACCTGCCAGATCTGACAGCAGCAGCAAATTGTTAACTGTTGGCAATGTGGAAGGCAGAAAGTACAGTGCTACCTTGTAATAATGTGATCCAGCATCTTCTACTCTTGGTGAGATTATTGACTTAATACATTGCTATCCTCAATATGAGCTTTCCCTAAGATAGTGCTATTGTCATGGGGAGGATTTGCCAGAAGAGCAAAAAAAATCATGCGAAAGCCATGATTTAAAGTGCCGTTTTTTCCAGCACATACAATTATACACTTCCCTTTATCATTAACAACAACAAAAAAAAAACTAAGAAACTTGCGAGTGTTTTGGAATTACTGTTTTTCACACCCTTTATTCATCATATTAAACCTTGGGAATGCAAAAATTGAGTCAGTAACCTTGGTCTCTTCAGTTATTATGAAGGAGTCAGTTTTGTAGGAGTTGCCTGAGGAAGATGAACTGTTCCTTGGCTAGGATCCCTCCATCCCTTTTTACTAATAATCTTTTGGATGTGGACTGGCAGCTGAGTGCTGAAGGGTGCTAATTTAATGTTCTCATCCCACCTTCCTGTGCACAAGTCCAGCTTCTGTTTCAACACAGACAAAAGGTTTATTTTTATTTAGGACTGTCACTTCAGAAATTCTCTTGACAGCATTTGATTGACATTGAGACTATTTCTTAGGTCTTGTGTGCTGGTAAGGGGGTGGAGGCATACAGTGAAAAAAAAAATCTAGCTATTCCACAAGAGGGAGCAGCTTCCAGCAGAATTTTTATTTTTGATCTTAAAAGTTAAAGTTAAAAGGAGTTAAAAGGATTGAAAGGTATACATTGAAGACTAGAGGGCAGACATTTCCTCTGCACTCTCTGGATTCCAAGGGTTGGGTTTTGAAGTAAGTGTACATTGATGTAGCTCTGTCTTCTTTTGGGAGAAAAATACTGGAAAAATTACTCCAGTTAGAATTTGACCTTCAGTATTTGCTTCTTAAAACAAAACCTGTCAGACCATTGCTGAAACATAATAGTAACTGATATTTTGTGAGGTCAATAAAATACAATAATTTGGATTCCCTTCCTGACTCTTTCTTGAAATATCTGAGTGGTACAGACATGAGGCAATGGGTGCAAGGCACTCTTTGCTTTTGGGATGGAATTTGGGCTGCTTCAGTTCAGTTTTTCCAGCTGTGCTTGTGGAATGAGTTCAGGTTCTTTTTGAGAACTGCTCATTAGTTGTCTTCTCCAGTCATGTGAAAAATAGCTAACAGTGCTTTCTGAGGCCAGAAGGTGCTGTTCTCTGGAGCAGCTGCTGTCTTTGAGCCTTGCTTGACAGGGCTCCTTTTATCACTGACAAAGAATTTCATCAAACTGTATCCATAGATTCAAATCACAAAAAGCTGCAGGCTTCCACGTTCCCTGCTTCAAATTCGTTTTTGTGTGTAAACTCTATTTTCAACTCTTCAGTCTCTGAAGGATAGATAGAGGGCCTCTAGGCTCATCTAGCTTTATCCTAGGCAATCCATCCCTCTTAAAAGGTTTCTGCTAACAGTTGCTCCAGGACATCAATACACACACATCTATTCTAGCAGCAGGGACTGGCCTATTTCCAGGAACTGGACCACACATGCTATGAGACACAGATGTGACCATGAGGAGGATTTGAATGGAGATTTTTGTGCCAAGGTTGCCCAGGTAGAGGATTTTGTGTCATCACTGTTTGCCACGATTGTTTGCAGCCCTGGGAGCCACCACCATTCTTTAATCTGTACAGGGTTTTCTTTTTGCATCTTGATTGGAAAGGCTGACTGATGCACAAAGGGCATTGACAGAATAATCTTTCTTATATCTTCCTCCTTCTGGTTCTTGAAGAATGCCCAAAGTACAAGATATGTCTTTGCTTCCTCTAATTTTTGGACTATGCATCCATTTCATACAGGTGCCTGAACAAGGGGTAGGACAGGACATCTTGTAGTAGCCTGAGTGAATGAATGCCTGTCACATGGTCTGAGAGCAAAACCAGAACCTTGTTATGGAAAGGTAAACAAATGTGTTACTTGATAGTTCCTTCCTGTTCCTCCTGAATCCTTCAGAGAATTGTTTTTAAGGGACCTGAGAGCAAACCAGCTGTTAACGTGAAAACACAGGGCATTTACCTGAAACTCCATTGCCACGCTTGGCAGCTTCCCTTCCATGCTGTGACTGTGTAGCCCTCTGGGTTGGCACTCTGTGCACAAGCCCTGTTTCCTCCTCTCAGGATCCTGCTGGCAATATGGAAACCTCCTTAGCAGTGCCCTGTGTCTCTGCCAGCTGGGGAATGTAGGTAAGACTTTTTTCCTCCTTGACAGCAAGTGATCCCATGACCCCACACATGGGCAAGTTTGTCATGAAAGCAAAAATGTGTGGACTGTTAGAACAACATAAGGCTCTTCCCTGCTGGGAAAGGAAGGCTGAGGATAAGAACACCACCTCCGTACCATCCTTTCTTTGGGGCGGGGCTGTTGGCTGCAAGCAGTCAGGACTGAAAATTCTCTTCTTTAAAGTACTGAGACCTTGGTTGTGTGGTTGGTTGCGAGTTGCTTCACTTTGTGAACTTCTTAATGCTTTTTACTTGAATGTCAAGGGCTATGGTTATCACAAATAATATCTGAGGTGATCACATGTTAGCATAGATACCACTCCTGCTGAATTTGTAATTGATTTTAGAACTTTGCCAAGTGATCTTACTGTTTTACAAGAGATACATTTAGAGCTGTCCTTGAAGAGCTTGCCTCTGGCTAAGCAAGAGTTTGGAGCAACAGCAAGAGGGGTTCTTTTTTTAATTCTGTTCTATATCCTGAACCTTTCTTACTAATGCTGAAGCGTGTGTGCATTGTCTGTGAACTGAATTCTTTTAACTACGGTGCAATTACTGTACCATATGGTGTGGATGGGGGAATGTTCCCTTGAGCTATAAATATGTTTTGTACAGGTGATAATGGAAAATGAGGTAGAATTTGGAATTAAATTTTGTAATAAATATCTCTTCTTTGAAGCAATCTCTTTGTGTCTAGATTTTGGGATTGTTTTTTCCCCTCTTTCATTTTTTCCTCACATACCTCCTTGAAGTAACAGCATGAACTTTAAATGGACCCATTCGAGAATTTAATCTAGGTTAGTGATGATGTATATCACCTTTTAGCACACAAGGATTGCTGGACTGCAATTCTAGATCAGATTTTACTGCAATCCAAGCAATGTATTGGTAAGCACAACAGGAAGTGAAACTGGTACATTTGGACAAGAATAAAGTATTGTCTGTCGAAGCAGGTTTATTTCCCCTATTCAAGATGTGGTAAATTGTCAGTATGTATAATGTATCAGGTTAATGGGTATTTTCATCAAGCTTCTGATAGGTTACCTATGAACACTTCATTTGGCAAGTCAAGCACTTTGTTTGGAAACCCAGAATTTTTCTGTAAGTCATGATCAGTCTGTGGTGCTCATAACACCAGACTGGTGCACAATTTTGTACAAATGAGGCTCTTACTGTGAACTAAATGTGAGAATCCATAATAAAACTGGAACACTGAAAATCAGAATCTGGCTTTATACAAGACTGTAGTGAGGGGGCTGGAATATGCTTTTGAGTACAGTGTAGTAAGAGGTTGCTTGGGGTGGAACTAGATGGGAAAAACCAAAATAAAGCCACCTTACTTGGGACTACTCTGATGCCCAGATGAGTACTGGAGGAGAGCCAACCAGTCTGTTTGGACATGTTCCAAGGGCTACTGCAGTACAGCCAGGACAGCTAGAAACTGGACTGTGGCCTGTACAGGGTGATACAATAAGCTGTTAAATGGTTACTGAAAAGCCTGTTGACTTCTTGTATTGCTTCACACAGTACAAGTTGGTCTTTGGGTATTGTCTGATCAGGGCTATTGTTCTGGAAGGGAGGACTGCTGGTACAGAAGCTGTGCTAGAATGTAGGGAGATGACAAAAAAAGGAGGAAGTATTGTTCATAAAATGCTGATAATACCTGATGTAAAACTTCTCACTGCCCTCTAGAGGAAGAATGGCTTTTTTCTGCAGGTAAGTGATTTCGCATGGATGAACCGTGGTGACTGATTCCAATTTGTGTTTGATTTGAACCTCCCAGATTTGTAGGCTTCTAGATTCCAGCCATCAACCTGTTATCTGTTCCTCAATAAGAATGAGGCTTTTTTACAAACTGGTGTTTTAATATAGATTTTGTGCTCTGTCCTCAAGCTGCTTCTTAATCTTCTATTTTCTAACTAAATAGAAACTTCCAATGCAAATTGCTTCCTTTGGCCCTCAATCTGCCATGATCTCCTTTTCATTGTTTACCCATAAGGTTTCCCAGTCTGTACCATGTCTTCCAACATCAGTCTCCCTAGGTCCATCTGCTGAAATCATATGGATTTGATCTTCACTACAACTACCCCTGCTGTCTGGTTTACATCCAAGGATTGTGGTTGTACACTTTGGAGTTGTTCTCTAATACACCACCACTAACTGTAACTCTGGCCCATGTAATACATGCTCTGGAAGTAGAAAATTTGTGGTTTATAGAATGGGTGTAAGTCTGACAAGGATTATAATTGTTGTAAATTGCTTTTCCATTTTTATCCTTCTTGCAGTCATTGCTTTATCTCCATATTGCATCCAAAGCCTGTAATCTTCTTGTCATGCAGCTGACAAAGGTAGTCTTAAGGCTCCATTCACCTGACCTATTTTTTTTACCCTGTATTTTAGAGTGAGGTGGTTCTGCAGCACCTGGGTTTCTCCATTGACCAGAATGGCAGTTTAGATTATGTGTCCATATTAAAGCATGTGTGTTGGATCAGCTGTGTCACACCCTGGCAGTGTGCTGGTGCCTTGCAGTGCTTTGGGGACAATAAGTGTTCCATTTCAAGATGGAGAATGAAAGCGTGAGAAGTGGAGAGAATCAGTGCATTAAGATGGTACATTCTTGACGTGCATCAGAAACAGTGTGGCCAAGCAGGACCAAGGCAATGATTTGTCCCCTTCTCAGCACTCACACCCCAAATCCTGTGTTCATTTTTGGGATCCCTCACTTCAAGAAAGACATTGAGGTACTAGAACATGTCCAGAGAAGGGCAACAAGGCTGTTAAAGGATTTGGAGCACAACTCTGATGAGAAGCAGCTGACAGAGCTGGGGATGTTTAGCTTGGAGAAGAAGAAGTTCAGGGGGGACTTTATCTCTCTCTACAGCTGTCTGAAAGGAGACTGTAGCAAGGTGGGGGTCATTCTCTTCTCTTAAGTAACAAGTAACAGGATGAGAGGAATTGGCCTCAAATTCTACCAGGCCAGGTTTAGATTGAATATGAGGAAAAATTTCTTCACTCGGAGGGTGGCCAGGCATTGAAACAGGCTGCCCAAGAAGTAGTGGAATTACCATACCTTAAGGTGTACAAAGAACACATAGATGTGACCTGGGGACATGGTTTAGTGGTGAACCTAGCAGAGCAGTTTGCAGGTGAAAAATTCCCCACTGAACAGGAGAATTATTTTTGACAAAGCCCCAAAGCTGTAATGGCTTAGGTGAGGGGGAGAAGGTCTCAATCCAGAAGTGTCCCACACATAGGAGGAATAGTACATGGGGTTTGCTTTGAGATCAGATGGCTGAGTGCAAAGCTGAAATGTGGGAATGCTGGCACAGCCCTGACATGAAGGAATGGATGCAGTAAAATACAAAATCTTTGTTTTAATAAATCATATAAAAATGCTATTCCTGGAGACAACCGCTGTAGGTCAAACGTTTATAAGAGATGGCCTAATCAATAGTGTCAATTTAAATTGCAAGGAGGGAGAGAACAAAGAGAGGTGAGATCAGAGAGATGATCAATGACCACCTGAGAGACCAGCAGTGCTTCTGAAACAGCTTCCAGGGGGGAAACTAAAGAAAAGACTCCACAATGAAGAAGGCATTCTTTTACAAGCTTTTGCCATGATGTTTCAGCAGCTGAAGGATGAGCCAGTCTAGAAGCATAAGGACAATTGGAGGAAGATCCAAGACCATGTACATCATCCCTAGGTAGGACAGAAGCCAGGTAACTGTGCTAACACAATGCTTGCCAAGTTGCCAGGCATGCCAGAGTACCATGTCAAGCTAATGAGGCTGGAGAGCTTTTTGCTTGCATTCCACCAGCTTTGCATGTACCTCCATAGCTGTGTCCTATGACCAAATTCAGCTTGTGTGTCAAGACTGACATGGTCTTGAACTCTTTGGACTCACTTTGGTAGAGTGACTTAGAAAAGGCAGAGGTTGTTTCTTGGAAGGTCAGCCTGCCGGTGTTGGTTTATCATTGTGCTAGGGAGCCCAAGGTGAATAACATCTGGGGTAGGGTTTGAGCATCTGCAAGTGCCAGACCTGGTCCAACAGCTCAGTGTGATCCCGTTTGACTTTTCTCACCACTTCATGTCTGGACATCCTAGGACTGTTTTCACCTGCCTGTGAAAGTCTTTCCTAGCTGGCCACAGGATAGTCAAGATTAATCTGGGGATGTCTAGCAAACTGAATTCAAAAGAAGTTTCCATTTTATTCTACTGTTGAATCCTCCCTCTGCCTATCCCTCTTCCCTTAGTCCATATCCCCAGTGAGGGTGGTAGTGCTGTCCTGCTCTCTCCACAGTCATGGTGACAGCAAGCAAGCTCTGCAGCTCATCTTAATAATTTTCTGGACAAGATTATTATCTCCTGCATTACTTTTGATTTTTGTTATGCAACCGCATTTCGTGACTTGCTTTGCTACTGAGCTGTGCCGCACCATGGCCTGAGGGGGTAGCTTGAGAAGAATTTTGGGAACGTTGCATGATTTCTGCACCCACCTGAGGATGGGATGGGAGAGATGGGAGTCTGGGAAAAAGAGAACCTGTCATAATCTGTGTTTTTTAAACTCGGAACAAGGGGAAACAAAGGGGATTAGCCAAGCCCAGGAGTCTGTATCCTAAGTGAGCAGGGAGCCTGAGGCAGATAGATCAGAGTGTTATTATTCATGAAGACTCACAGATACAGAATTGGAAATGAGCAGAAATTGTAAGGGAGATATGAGTTTGTTAGTGCAGCAGCTGGGGTGAAAACTGAGTGCCACAGCAGCACTGGCAAAGCAATCATCCCTAGGCCAGGCAGATAGGGCCTCCCTGAGCAGGGAGGGCTGTTCTCCAGGTGCTGTGAGCCCTGAGTGGTGGCCTAGGGATGGCATTTGCGAGCTTACTCCTAGTTCTCTCACACAGTTTTATGAGACTGGGCAACTTTCTTTCCATGTTGGTAAACTGAGGCATTGAACAAGTAAAGCCGATGCTTGGCAAGGGAAGCTAAGAGTGTTGGTACTGTAATTTGAAGTGGATATAGATTACAATAATAAAACCCACTGCAAACTGAAAACACTATAAATTTGTGTTCTCCCAAAGTAGAAAAGAGCATTATCATCCTCTTTGCATGTCAGTGAATTTCTCCAAAAACCTCTCTCCCCTTTCTTCAAGTGGTCTAAAGATGATTTTGGAGCAGTCTGTGCTGTTGACCAGGTTGGTCTTCGCTCATGAGAGCTCCAGGGATGGTCTTGCAGAAATCGAAGAGCAGCTCAGAAAAGCGCTGACTGCCAGGTTAGGTACATGGAGCCAAGGGAGCTGGAAGCCATCACAGGAAACCCTAAGACTATGGAAACCTTTGCAGTGCTCAACCTCTTGCTGAGATTCTCATGCTTGAAGGCTCACAAAACATTTGGAATAAGAAGAGAGGTTTTCTTGTTTGCTTCCTTGTACTTTAAATCCTCTCTGGTGCTCTCAGCACCTCGATGCTGTGACAGCAAGAGGAACTCTGACAGCCACATAACTGCAAGGGACAAGCTGCTTTGCACATAGGCAAGAGCACTGTCTCTCTCAAGCCCTCGGTCTTTTAAATCATTTGAATGGAGGTTTGAACGTTTCTTATCCCTGAGCTCTCCCTGTATCCCATCTCAAGTCCGTCCTTGCAGCTCCTTCTTCCTGTGCTGAAGACCTATGCTATCACAGAGGGGGAAATGCTGGGTTTATTAAGAGAGTGGAGATGTATCAGTGCCAGAAGGCAGCAAAGGGATGGATTCACTGTTCAGAGAGTCAGAGAAGGTGGGGAAACTGCTCCTGAATGTATCCTGCCCAGAAGGAGCTGTTGTTGGGGGCCAGGGAAGAGTTCTTGGACTCTGCTGTGTGTCATAGCTGTGTAGGGTTTGGATACCAACAAGTGGGTGGGGATATGGCCAGACCATTGCTCCTTTCATCAGCTCAGGCACTCCTATTTTCCATGGAAGGAAGGCGTATCATTGCTGCCCTTATATCTGGTCTGTTCTCACATTTGTGCCTTGTCTGTGAGCATTCAGATGCCACCTGCAGCACAGAGGTGAGGTGCAGGGGGAACATTTTGGACAAGAGCCACTGTTTTGCCATCACAGCTTCACTGCAATTGTCTGAGACACCCTTTCTATCAGGAACAATGGCTGAACCTGTAGTTTGTTGTTGCCCTGGCTGATATGGGGCGCCCTGTATGCATGGGAGTAAAGGTGTCTCACATTCCAACAAATCTTCAGGAACTGATCACTCTTAACTACAACTTGCTTTTGTGGAGTTTCTCTTCCTTCACTATCAGCCAGCTCTGAATGTATTCAAAATGTTGTTAGGCAAATAATCAGCCTTGGTTGCTGCTTTGACGGCACATACGTGCTTCAACTCTGCTCCTCAGTATCCTGTGGCCTGAGATGACTCTCCACGCTCCTTTCCAGTACCCTGGCAGCACACCACTGCCTATCTGTTCTATCCTTTGTTGTTAGCAGGGCCAGGCTGAACTGTCCAGCCAGGCTCTCCACGTTCGCGTGGTTGTGACAACGGGCTGAAATGTCAGAGCACCTTGCACACATGACAAAGGATGACATTTCATGCTCGTTGCTGGTTCGCTCGATCAGCCGCAAGAGAGCTAAAGGTTAATGTTTGCGTTGGCGCTGCCGGGCTGGTCTTCTCCGCCCTGCTCGGATTAACCCTGTATTTCCCACTGCTCTCCCAGCTGCCCTTTCAGGCTGCTGCAGCGGTTATCGTGGCAGTGACTTATGATCAGCCCCCGGTGCGAGTATGTCCTTTGAAACCACACAGTTAAGATGCTGTTTTATCTGACTCCTTAATCCTGCCTGACAGTTAATTTTTAATTTTTTTTTTTCAGTTTGCTGGACTCTTCCTTCAAGTGCCCACCTTTAGGACAAGGGTTCTTCAGCTTCCTTTAACGCACGTGGAGTTTTTCCTATGCAGCATCTTGTCTGGCCTGCACTGAGAACACGAAGTCTCAAAATCCTGGGAAAACAGGTAATTTATTCTGGCACTTGCACCACCACCATCTTGGGTGGCTTCCTGCTGTCACTGCAGTCAGTTCTGTCACTCCAGCTCTATTGGAGAAAGGCCCCTGGGAGACAAGCTGGGGCTGAGAACAAAACACTGAGCCTTTGAACTTGTCTCCTCCCACGGAATGTTTTCAATTCTCCCACAAGAAGAGCCTCCTTTCTGGCTACACTGAGTCAATGGGCCCCTTGGATGGGTGGGAGGATTCTGTCTTTTCTCCTGATTACCAGAAATAAGTCTGATGTACAGAAGCAGAACCTGTAATAAGATCAGCACAATTATTATTTTGGTGCAGACTGTGATGGTTTCAGTAATAGTTGCACTTTTGTATTGCTCTCGTCCTTCTGAAAACCTTAACTTTCCTGACTTCCCTTGTGCTGCCTGAGACCTCATTTGCCTTTTCTTGCTTTGTTTCCTCTGTGCTGTGTAAATCCTGGGGCCAAATTAAGCAGTGTCTGAACAGCAAAGAGAATCTGTGCATCCTGAACACGTGACAAAGATGTCATGTCTTCTCGTCTGTTATTAACAACTTTGCCTGCTTCATAGGCATAATTAGCCTTAAATTAGACACGTACCTTGCAGTGTCTAGCCTGCATCTGCCTGTGGAGATAGCAAGTGGCTGCGTGGCATCCAGTCTCAGTGGAAGAGGCCAAGAGCAAGAGGATGCTGTGGAGCAGCACTGAGGCCCTCCCAAGCAAAGTTACGCTCAGAGGGAGCTGTGCTGACGGTGAGCGAAGGTGGCCAGGTCCCAGTGGTCTCCTCGCTGGCACGGCTCTGCCCTGCTGCTTCACTTGTAAAATCAAGACGACGGGAAATGTCATAGGGAAGTTTGGGCATTTCGAATTTCTTTTTTCTCCCTTTCATCCGTCCTTCCTTCCTTCTCCCGAGTGGGAGATACTCGGTGAGATTTTCCTTCTGCGGCCGGGGCAGGCGCGGGTGGAGCGGAGCGGCCGCGGGGCTCGGCGGTGCGGGCGGGCGGAGCGCGGTGCGGCCGAGCCGGGGCCGCGGGGGCGGGACCCCGGGGGGCGCGGGGGCCGCGCCGGAGCTCCCCCGGCGGAGCGAGGGGCGGGCGGCCGCAGCTCGCCGGCCCCTCCGCCCGCGGAGCCGCGGTACCAGCGCCTCGCCTCGGGGCAGGGCCCCCGCCCCCGCCATGGAGAGCGGGATGCTGCTGTCGGGCGGGCAGCGAGCGCTGATCCGGGAGAGCTGGCAGCGGGTGAGCGGCAGCCCCGTGCAGCACGGCATCGTCCTCTTTACCAGGTGAGCGGCGCGATGCGGCCACCGGCACCCCGGTCCCGGCCGCCTGCCCGCCCGCACCGACCCGCGGGAGGGATGGACGGGCTCCGCTTCTTGGAGAGAAACGCTTCCCTGTGCTTGGCGATGGCTCCTGGCCGGCTCCCCTCCCCTGGCCTCTCTCCCCTCCCGTGGCTGGCTGTCCCCGGGAACCGAAGCCGCTCCGCCGCCAAGCCGCAGGTGCCGTGGGGTAGCGGCGCGGGGCACAGCTGGGCTTTGCTCCGCGCTGCTGCCCTGCCTTCCCCATCCTTCGCGAGTGAGAACTTTGCCCCGCGAAGACGGAGAGTGAGAGAGAAGCGGCGGGCGGGTTCTGTGTGTTTCTGCCCGCTGATCCCCTGCCTTGTCGCCGCGACTTCTGCTCTTCGAAGGGCTGTGTGCCCGCTTGGCTCTGGGGAGTGTGTGAAAGGGGCTGCCCGAACATTCCCCGACCACAGAAGTGCTGTGCAGCCCCAGGTGCAGACCTGGCAGCCAGGAAGGGATTCAGTGGCAGGGCAGAGGAAATGTGCCGGGTGGAATGGATGATACCCAGCTTCTTGCCTCTCCTCAGCAGATTAATGTATCAATGATGTGAAGAGAAAAAAGGAGAAATCAATGAAAAGTCGTTTGAAGAGGACAATCGGAGAGCTGATGAGCAGCTTCTGGAGCGAGAGGGATCCAAATCTCCCAGAGCAGGACTAGAGTAGTGATCACAATATGGGGGAGAAGGGTGCAGTAGTTTAATGTGCAGAATGAGGAGAAGAGAGACTGTCTTGCCTGAATTACTGGTGGCCTGTTCTGTCTACCTGGGTGGCTTCTACTGAGTCCCATTTGTGCCTGGCATACACTGGCAAGGGAGGATGGGGCAGGGGGAGAGGAAATAGGAACTGGTGATGATGTCAGGGAGTGGGGCATCAGCTGAGTTTGTACATGCCCCCCTTGGTATGGATGGCTGCTGGAGCTTGGAGGCCTTCCCTGATTTGGGAGCTTTTGGGTCCAAAGGCATCAGTAAGTGGGAATGGGAATAGTTGAGACAACAGCTGAGACTTGGAGGAGAAGGGCCAAGCTGGGAGGAACTCCTGAGGGTTGGGACTAGTTCTCAGGTGCCAGAAATATGTATCCATGAGCTGGGGTTATGGGCAAGGGAAACAGAAAGTTTTTTGTCTATAGATAATCTCGATTGCCCCAAACTAAAACTTTTCAGAACTTTTGGATCTTTTATGGATGGGGAGGGATCAGTAGGTGGGAAGGGAGGCAGAAGTGGGCCATGGGTGTGCTGCTGATGGAGTGAGTGGGACTTGAAATAAAGCTGAGGAAGTGAGAAGATGGGGTACTCTTTCTTGCTGTTGCAGGCTCTTTGACTTGGATCCTGACCTGCTGCCTCTTTTCCAGTACAACTGCAAGCAGTTTGCCAGCCCTCAGGAGTGCCTCTCTGCTCCTGAGTTCCTGGATCACATCAGGAAGGTGAGAGAGGGGCTGTGGCATGGCTGGAGCACAGCTTCCATGGAGGAAGAAACTCTTAGGCAATGATTTGGGACTGTGGTGTGGCTGACCAAGGAAGTCTCCTCCTGAGATGGTAACTGCAGGGTGTTACCCGTGCTATCAAAAGGCCTGGACACAGTGTCCTACAACAGTGGGGAAGGGATGAGAATGCAGGTTATGGTGGCTAAGAGGCACCATGCTGATCTCTATGCCCTAATCTGAGAGTGGATTGCTTCCTGTGAAGGCTGAAAGAATCCTCCTCATGCTGTGGATGTAGCTCAGGGAGCTCACCTGTGTCCAGATGAGAACTGCTCTCGGCCACATGCTGACCAGGAGGTGGCACAGGTAGCTGGACTACCATGGACCCACTACTGTGGAAAGGTTGGTGCAGCTGCAGAGCCAGAAGGCCCACAGAGACCTCTCAGAGAGCCTCTGAGGGGGTGCTGCAGTAGACATTCCCCTCCCCCCAAACACAGAAAGGAGCAGGCTGAGGAGAGGTTCATGCATGCCCACTACACCTGGTACAGAGGAAACCCTTTTCTGAACCCTTAAGAGAAGCCACACTGGGACAAAGCATGGCATTGGCTTGCAGATGCCTTCATAAACTGCCTGGCTCCATCTTTAAAACAGTTTGGTGCTTTGCTTGCCTGTCTTTATTCCTTGTTAAGAGGCTGTTCCAGGACTGAGCTCCTCTGATAGCTGCAAGCTTTTTGTTATTTTCCAGCCTCTCTTTATTGGCGAAGTCAAGATTATTGCCTTGAGCTGAAATCGTTCTTTGCTCTTGTTGGAGATAAATTGCCTGTTGAAATTGCAGAGCACAATTCCATCACCTCTTGTCTTTGCCAAGATAATCATGCCTTGGCTTTAATCTCTTCTTCTTCATCTTTCTTTAAATCTTTTCTGTCCTGTTTCCATTTGACTCTTAATTCTCCTGGGAGACTATGGTATGTGTTTTACCAGACCAGGTCAAGAGACCTGGCCAAACTCTCCATCCCATCTCTTCAAAATACCTTGTCTGATCTTAGAATTGGACTGGTCTTATTCACAATTGCACTGTTTTGGCAACTTCTAGTTGGGAACTCTAGTTCTGGCAACTTCTGGGGTTCCCATACAGTTGTCCTGGGGTCCAAGGAGTTGTAATGACTGCATCAGCATTAGGTCTTAACCTGCAACTGCTCTGCTGTAGGGCTGTTTGTCCCCTCTAGGACAGGGTGGTCAGCAGTGCTGCTTGATCAACAGTACAGCTCTGGTAGTGTCCCATGGAAGGATGTGGTGTGTGCTGCTGCCAGCCTCACTGATGTGACACATGGATCACAGAAGAGCAAGGGAAAGCTCAGAGGACATTTGGGCTGGGAGGGGTCAGGCTGACAAGGGTGAAGTAGAGGGTCAGACACTTAGGTTCAGCTTCCCTCCCAGAGGAAACATTCTGTTAATGCCATTCTGCCTTTCTGTTCTTGCACTAGGTGATGCTGGTGATTGATGCTGCTGTGAGCCACCTGGAGAACTTATCCTGCCTGGAAGAGTATCTCTGCAACCTTGGCAAGAAGCACCAGGCAGTTGGTGTGAAGGTTGAGTCTTTCTCGGTGAGGTGTTCTCTCTTGTCTCGCTGTGGCTGTGTTTATTCACCCCTGCCTGCAACCCTCAGCTGTCCCCATCCCTCCTCTGGGTTCAGCTGTCTGGAGAGAAAACTGATGGCTCAGGGCAGCCTGTCCAAGGTGCTGATACCAATCTAGTGACACTGGCCCAATGAGGGAAGCCTTTGAGCTTGCCTTGTTTTCTGCCCTTGCCCAGAAAGCCCAGGCAGAGAGGATAGATGAGAGCAAAGCATGTCCACTGTTTGAAGAGGCTCATGGTTTAGGACATTGCAGTTTCTCCTGTGCCACAGGGCTGCAGGCTCAGCCTTGCCCTGGATCCTTTGCATCTATTTCTCTGGGCAAACCTCACCACACCTGGAAAAGGGAGCATCCACCTCTCTGTGTTTGCACTGGGATGGGGTTGCTGCACCTTGGCCTCTGCTTTCTCCATGCCAGTAACACCCAAGCATCTTCCATATTAAACCCTTGATTACTCCTCTCCTGCTATCAAGCATGGACAGAAATGCCGTGGGGAAGGGCAGGTTGAAGAAAAGCTTTCTAACCCACACATGGCTCTTTCCTGATATTGTTAGCTTTTTTTCTCTTCAGAAGGAGCAGGGTCCCTTTTGTTTAGGGTAGTGATCCCCACCAGTGCACTCAGTGTGGGGGTGCTCCTACATGGGGCTGCTCACAGCTCTGTGAGGAGCAGTGCCCTGTGGAGAAGCCTGAGAGGCACTGAGACATGAGACACCTTAGCATCCAGTGTGGGGTCTGATCCACTCTCCTGACATCAGGGCATTGCTCAGCTCTGCTGCTTCACTGCTATGTCAAGGGATAGGGCCAGATACCTGCACCTGGGGGTCACAGAAATTGGATGTGTACCTCTCGCCTGGTGTTACATGTGCAGTATCAGCCCATGCTCCCTGACTTCCACTCCCCACTCATCCATGGTGAGGGCCAGCATAGGGCAGGGGAAGAGGATCACATGTGCTGGTTCTGAGCCCCCTCTGATGAGCCAGGGACTAGAGGGGCCTGGTAGGTGGAAGAGAAGCCAAAAAAAGGTAGTGAAATGAGACAAGAGACTGCATGTCATCCTGTGGTGCTGAGCTTGACACCTCCTTGTTTGGTTTGCAGACTGTTGGTGAGTCCTTGCTGTACATGCTGGAGAAATGCCTTGGTGCTGCCTTCAACCCAGAGGTACAGGAAGCTTGGAGCAAACTCTACAATGCTGTGGTGAAAGCCATGCAACGTGGCTGGGAGACCCTCCCAGAAGGGGACTAGATCCTGCCAGCCATCCCTATCCCTGACCATGCAGCAGTCCTGAGCAAGGGAGTGTCACACCAAACTCGCTGCCTCTCCCTACCTCTGTCTTTCTGTGTGCACCAGCCCATGGCTGCCTCTGCCACTCACACGTCCTGAGGGCTCTCACGTGGTTCCACCCTGCTTCAACACGAGCGTGTCTCTGCCTTTGCTAAGGGCTGGCAGGGCATGTCCCTGCAGCGAAGCCTGGCAGTGCCACAGCACAGGTATGCCACCCTGCCCCAAGTTCCTTCAGGAACACCAACACCCATGTACCTACTCTGGGTTTTAACTTGCTCATCTTCCCTCTTCTTGTAGGTGAGAGCTGGCATGAGCCTCTTGCCTTATTTGCCCAAAATCCTATTTGCAGTGCTTTCCCTGCCAGGTCTGACACTGCTCGGTCCACCTGCACTGCTGTACCTGTTCAGCTGTGGCAGTGACAGATTTGGCTCCATCCAGGTCAAAAGGCAGCAAGAGAGCAAGGCTAGTCACACCATGTGGTCGTCCTCCAACCTTGCAGCGAGTTTTCCCCCTCTCCCTTCATCAATGTATCAGTACCAGTTGGTTAATCCTAGTGCTTCTGCCTTGCCTCTGACCTGGATGGAGTCCCTGGCTTTTCCCTGTGTCAGGTTGGCCACTACCCAGTAGGTTTCTTAGGGATGCTTCAGGCAGTATTGCCACATTAATCCCAAGGTGAGACTACTTTTGGCAGGGTTAGGCTGCCAGCTGAAAGGCTTTGTGTTGATTTCACCTGCTGGTTTAACCTTAGAGCCATCTGAAATGCAGCAGCAGCAATGTCTGTTTACTGCTTTGTGTTAAGGAAAACAAACTAAATCCAAGGAAAAGATGTCTTAAAATAAAAATGAAGGTAGCAATCGTGTCATAGCAACAGCTTCCAGAAATTCTGGCTCTTGGCCAGAGGAAACATGGCATTCTGGATGCTGTCAGAATCTGGAGCGCTTCCCAGCTGCTCACAGTGCCCATCTGCAGAGTTCCTCACCCTCACAGGAATGAGGAGAGCATCTGCTAGAATAAATCCCAGAAAACTGCGGAGAGGCAGCACCTGAGGGCTCTGTGAAAGGGCTGAACTTGAGCACTTTGAGGAAGAGTTCTTTATGGGGAAGTCACTATGGAACAAGCAGAACCCTGTTTCTAAGCACCATTAGCCCCAGAGCTAGGACATGAAGCAATTATTCAGTTAAGAGGCAGCACCTTTTTATTTTTTTTGCTTCTTCTTCAGGACAGGAGGAACCTAGTGTTGAGGTCTGAGATGGTCCTGTTCTGAGGACACATTCCTCCTATTCTCAGATGTCCTCCACTCTGGGGCAGGAGAAAGCTGCCTGTTCAATGCAAACGAGGTCTCCTAGGCCCATGCCATGGGATGATGGGGTGCCCTGTGAGATGGGTCTCTAGTGCCCTGCCACCAGGCCTGATGGTAGCCATGGACTTCCAGCAGGAAAAAAAGCTCTCCAGCTGTGTTTGGGAGGCAAACTAATAGATGTTGTGAAACAGGCAGTGAACATCCCCACGTTCCTTGTCCTCCCTATGGTACCATGTTCTGCCTCTGCAGCCCTGTAATGTCGTGGTGTGCATCCTAGCCCATGGCTCTCTCCATCAGCTGGGTCACGTGAATTCCTCCCCATTCTTGCACCCAGCAGTGAGGGATGGAGGAGCTGGGGCTGGGGCGGGACACTAGCTTTGATGGCACGGTATGGAGTAGGAAGGTTTGAGAATGGGGATGTCCTCCTTGCAACCCTGTTATGGGACATCAGCCTTCAGCATCATGGAAGTGGGACGCCTTCTGGCTCCGTGTGACAAGTAGGCAGCTGTGTGGTGGGTGGGGTGTGGGTGTTACTGCCCAAACCATCCCTGCTCCCTCTAGCTTTCCCAGCTCCTTGACTTCTGCTCTTCTGTGCCACATTTTGTGTAACTCCTAAGAGAACCGAACTAGTCTGTGTGCCTCTTATACCCAGCTGTACTGTTTATTAAAAAACAACAGTGAGTCTTAGCCGTTTTTGATGCCTTGTGTTTCTTTTAATATAAAACGCCCAAGCAAACCAAAAAAAGAGGATGACAGAGAAGGGTTTACTGGTTTCTTGTTGATTCTAGCTTTGAAGATATTGGTCACTGGGAGCACTTGTGTAGTGCAGCTTGACTGATATGAGAAGGCATCCACCAGCAAAAGTGTGTTGGGAGCTTTTTGTGCCTGGTAATTGAATGGGTGAGCAGTGGAGGGGCTAACAGAGACACCCTGCTACTGATTGCTCAGACCCTTCAAGTATAATAATCTCTAATGGAATCAGAATTTTAAGCAATCAGCCTAAAAATCCCTTTTCTGATGTTCAGCCACTGCTTTTGTTTTTTGACATAGCATTGGTTCACCTGTTGCTGGTCATCTGCAGCAGTAAAGCATGGCCTCATAACAAAGTCCTGTCTGACTCCATGGATCCTTATCCACCCTGCCAGCTGGATTGCAGAGCCATTCCAGCAGCCCTGCCCAGGGAGCAGCTGGTGAGGATGCAAGAGGTTCTGTCTTCTAGCATGTTCTAGCTTTGACATGATGGGTTTCCAGCCCTGTGAGAGCTGGGCACTTCATGCTGAAGAATGGTGTCTAGAGTGAGGAAGCCAGCTCAAGATCTATAGTAGCATCTCCCAAAGGCTGCGAATCCCAGCCCTGGCACAGGAGCAAAGGGAAAACATCCTGGGAGAGCCATGCTGCTCATTTAGAATGGGCTTGTTCCACAATGCAATGTGTGATAGGCTGTGAAGGGCAAGGAAAGCAGCAGAGATCTGAATGCAAAGAAATACCCCCTTTGGGTCATTGATAAAGTAAGTTTTCCAGCTCTTCCTGGCCTCAGGACTGGTGGTGGGAGTCGAGACCTGGCAGTGCAAGGAAGGGCCAGCATGGCAGCCTCCAGCAGCACTCCCATCTTTGACTGCCTGTGCCAGCAGGGAGGTTTGCCCCAGCTCCCACAAGCTGCCCCTTTTCTGTGGCTGCTGCCCAGTGGGGATGCTCCTGTCACTGCCTGCCACCAGCTGGCACAGTGGGAGACTCCCTGCCATTGCTGTGAGGGATTCTGAGTGTGCAGGCTGCAATCAGGGAGCGGGTTCCTGAGTGGGTTTCCAGGCGGAGGTGCAGTGTGATGGGGCTGACACCCCCTCAGGGTGTCATCACACCCCTAGGCCGTGATGAGCTTCCCAGTGTGAGGGCCTTGCTCCCAGCCAGAGCTCCTGCCCAGCTCCCCAGCACAGCAATTCCCTGTGTTAACTCTGTTTACCACTCATTACAAACCGTGGGGGGCCTCTGTAGGGACATGCGATGGGTTTTAAATTTCCCAGTTTCTCACCCAAAGGGAAACCCCCTCCATGCCTTCTGCCCTGTGCCATAAACCAGAGTGGCAGGGCTCACCCTGGGGAAGCTGTGGAGGAGCCAGCAGAAAGAACATGCTGAAAACAGAGGCAAATAATTTAAGTACGAATCAGGTAAAAATAGTGTATATTTTGGGAGGGAGGAGGGTAGAAAAGAGCACTGTTCTCTCAAAATCTAGAGAAAGACTTCCAAAAGGGTGTTCACCCCCTTCCCTGGGACTTGCTAGTAGTTCATCTTTGGGAACACCTGCTCCATCTGCAGATGATATGGGTGGTGGTGTTCTGAGCTAGCTCTGTCAATAGAGTGACTGCTGACAGAAGGTGGGCAAGAAAGGCACATGACTGTCCCAGGACTACAACCCATCTCCAATGGAGGGATGGTGCCAAGGGCTGTGTCAGTCTATCTGGGACACAGTGAGGTGCTCTTCTACTCCTGAAACTTCGCTGCTTCTGCTCACTTGTTTGGGTTTGTTTTCATAGGGATCATAGTGGGCAGTCTGGAGGTGGAGATGTGTCCAAACAGTCTCCTTGCCACCAAAGCCTCCGTAGGACATTCCCAGGCAGGGTCAAAAGCAGCTCACAGGTGGGGAAAGGCTCTAGTGGGAAGGGTTCCCCCTAAAGTGGTGCCAGGAAAGACGCATGGGAGTGACGACGCCAGGCAGCAGCTGGGTGAAGTCATTTTATTCAAGGCACGGTCATAGCAATAAATCACAAGAAGGTACAGACCTCTGGCACATTCCTACAGTGGGGCAGCCAAGGGCAATCAGACCAGCAGCCCGAGCTCCTGAGGACACACTGCCACTAGCAGGCACTTGCTTCTACCCTCAGAGAGGCCACCAGCATCCCCGTGCCCTGCCTGGGGCTGCCTCTGGAGCAGGCAGTGAGGGGAGCAGCTGAGCTGTGGGAAGCCACGGGGGCACCTGGGCAGGAGGGCACAAACCCCCCGGGGAACTTTTTTGGGATTGGAAGGGTGTGTCTGAGCTCAAGGCTCCCCCAAGGCAACCACTCTGTGGCTAGTGTGCTGCAGCCACCGGCCCAGCATGCAGGAGCACGGGTGGGACAGGGCCTTGGGACTGCCAGCCAGCTGAGCTGAGACACACTGGCCCCACAGGTACGTCCTAAAGGGCCCCTTGATGCTCTCACTGCTGGGCTGCCTTTAAACCTCCCCCCCAGCCAGTGGCACTACTAATGCTAACCAGTGAGCATCTGCCTTTGAACAACAGCACTGCCCATGCCAGCAGCCCTGGTGCTGGCAGAGCTGCACTTTCCTCCCTTCCCTGGGATGGTGGCAACTCTGTTGCTCTGAAGCTAGCAGGAGAATCAGGGACAGGAAAATCAGCCCTGAGGTCAAAGCAGGGCTGAGTGAGGAGCCAGCATGCCCAGGTGGGCTATGATGGCAGAGGAGCTGAGCAGGATGAGGATAAGCCTTCATCCCCAGAGGCCACCACAGCTGCTCTGGATGAGTTGGGAAATTCCAGGGATGCTGTCTGGGCAGGTAATGGTGCATTTACACTAATCACAGCAGGACTCACATTTGAGAGGCAGTGTGACTACTGGGGGAGCATCTCACAGCTGCAGCTTGTGGACAAGGGCAGGTAGGATGTGGTGGACTAGGAGGACATGGAAGTCCAGGTCCTGCCAGTGTCCACCTGTTCCCCCTGTTCTGGTGCATTAGGACAGAGCTATTCTGGGTGCCATGGGCAGCCCCAGTGAGAGCATGAGCACGATGGGTGCTGCCAGGGAAGAGGAGTGACAAGGAGCTGTCCTCAAAGCCATTAAACACACTTGTCTCTTGATCTCCCACTTCTCCCCAAGAGCCCAAGGGCACAGGCATTGTGCAGCAAGATGGAGGGATGGGATGGGAAGTCGAGGAAGAGCTAGGAGTGCATTTGATGCCTGCCTTGGTGCAGGGCTGCTGGTGCTCATGTAGGGGCTCTGGTGACAGATGTACGGACACTCACTTTCTCCACCAAAGCACAAGCATGTCAGCAGTCCCTGCTAAAATGGGCAAAGCAGGGGAGGCAACTGCCTGAGCAGTGGGTGGATGGGGTGAGATGCAAGGGTTAGGGGTGGCTATCCCCTGCCACTGAGGACCCACAGGACAGCATGGTGGCAGGCACATTCATCTGGGCTGTCTTGGCTGCTTCTTCCTCTCAGAGGGGCCAGGGCCTCCCTCCTGCCCCTAAAAGCATGGCCTCTCAGAGAAACCCTCTCCCTATACTGCTGGACCCCCTCTTCCCCACTGTGTGCTGGAAGAGGCAGGTGGGGACAGGGGGATACCAGGGCGCTCAGCCAGTGCAGGCAGCGGGAGGGACCATCAGAGCCTCCTGCCACTGCCCATGCAATGGGGTCTCTCCCTCACATCAGTCCTGTCATCCCCTGGCCCATGAGCAAGGTGGCCCCCACCAGTGCAAGGAAGGCTCCTTCCTGCCCCACGGCCTGTCCTCCGCTCTCAGCACAGTCTGTTCTCAGCCTGTGGCGGGGGTGTTCACTGGTAGCGAGCCTGGCTCTCTATCACGGGGCCACTCCTGTACTCGCCCTCCACTGTCTCCAGCTCTGTCTCGAAGCTCTGCAGCCCCCCATCCTCCCCATCCTCCGCTGGCTCCAGGTGGTTGCCCATGGTGCCATAGGACTGGTGTGCTGGAGAGGCTGCCGGTGTCAGGCTCAGCTCGGGCTCCTGCAGGACAGTGGCCACAAAGAGCTGCCCCGGGGGGCAGTGGGCCATCAGGACCCAGGGGAGCAAGAGCAGGTGGCCACAGAAGAGCTGTGGAGGGGTACTCACATTGGAGTTAGGGGTGGAGGAAACGCTGCTCCGCTCCACATCATTGAAGGCGCCCTCAGACTGGTCAGACATCTGAGGAGGAGGAGAGGCCGTGAGGAAATCATGGTTTGGGGGACCCAACTTTGGCTAGGGACAGCCAGGTGCTATCTCAGATTCCCCAAGGAGGGGACAGAATGGGTGGCTGTCTCCACTCACCTGGTAGCTAGAGGGTTTCCGTGGTTGCAGCTTCTTCAGGCAGAGGCCAAAGAAGGAGAAGATGATGCAGGAAAGGAGGACCACAAAGGTGAAGAGAGTGACAGGCCGGGTGGGACCTAGAGCACAGAGACACTGGGGCAGCACATAAGCCTACAAGAACCTGCTGCATGTCCAACTGAGCCCCAGGCTGGAGCCTGCTTTGGGTTTACAAGCTCTCAACCCCTTTCCCAAAATACAAGCTGATACCACCTTAATCTGCCAGGTCTTCACAACACCTTCCCCCTCACCACCCTCCATGCCATGCCTAACTCAAGGGTGACATCAGAGGTTCGTCATCCCCAAGCATGAGACATGACCCTGAGCAGTGGCAGGGCACAGCCCCAAGCTCTCCCTACCGAGGCGCAGGACGGAGAAGAAGAGCAGCCAGAACATGCAGAGGATGGGGGCCACCACCACCTGGCTGATGGCGGCGACGTGGAGGCGCTGGTTCAGTTTGGTGGGGATGTACACGTAGTAAATGTTGTACCGGTCAACCATGTGCTTGAGCAGCATATACAGCAACCCTGGTGGGACAAGAGAAGCCCTTTGGGTGGAGGGCAATGGGGACAACCAGGCCATAGGGACAGCAGAGCAGGCCCTGGGGATGATGCCCAAGGGTGACCTCCTGTACCATGCAGCAAGCCTGCACTCCCATGCTGCTGCTGGTGGCTGGGACAGGCTGTTCTCAGCATGGCTGGGACCATGGGCATGGGATCATACTCACCAAAGGGGACGATGATGGGGCAGGTGATGCTGTAGGTCATGACAACAGAGAAGATACAGCAGGTCCAGGCGTACTCTAGTCCAAACTGGAACTGGTATGCTTGGCTCTGGGGCACAACCAACAGTGTCATTGCCACCTCTGCCACTGCAAGGCCTGCCCTTGCCTTTGCATCCTGGCCTGCAGGACTCCCTCACCCCCACTAGTCCCCAGGGGGCCTGAACAAGTCCCCGCAAGCATCCCTACATAACCACAACAGCCTGAGTTTCCAGTGAGTGCATCTCTGCTGTGCTGGGGGTCACAAAGGCTCACAGGGGATCAGAGCCACATACCCGCTTGACATGGAGCCGTTCGGGCTCAGACTTGGCAAAGCAGAGGCGAGCAGTGTAGACGAGGAGGCCTGGGATGCGCAGCAGCTCCATGGCTGTTCCAATCAGGCTGGAGGTGACTACGTAGTTGACGAAGAAGGCGCCATTGTCTGGGAGGAAAACGCACCTGCCCCAGGGACAGAGAGGTGAGACGGTGAGAGGATGCTCAGGCAGGAGCTGCAAGAGCTGCTGGCAGTAGACAACAGGTGCTCCCGCTTGCCTGGGAAGTTTGGGAGCTTCCTGCTACTCACTGGAATTTGATTTCAGCCTCATCCAGAAAGTGGGTGTCGAAGAGCCAGCGGAAAAACAGGTCCAGGCTGGAGGGGACAGAAGAGGAGCAGCTCACACAGAGGGAGAGCTACAGAGCAATATGAGAGACATCCAGCAGGCATGCACTTTTCCCTGTCTTGAGTGGGCAAGACCCTCTGCACCCTACACTGCCAGAACAGCCCCTTCTGTCACACAAGACCACTGTGGAGTGTCTCCTTGCCTCCTGGATGGCCAGGATTGCTGTAGCTGGAGCTATGCAGATACCTGACTAGGTCCTTCTAGAGTCTGCTGTACCCAAGCAGCAGCTGATCACTGCCACCAGCCCTCTTGGGTCAGCTGTGGCAGCCTGGTAAACTGCTCTGCTCCACTCCTCTGCAGGGAAGGTTTCCATCTGCAACCATGTGTGAGTGGCTCAGCACTGCTAGAGTGTTTTCCTCCCCAGAGATCACTGTGTTTCGGTGGCAATGTGATCTTAGCCCTTTGGGTCTGGGCTGCTGGGGCGAGGGGCCTGGGTGTGATCCTGGCATCTCATGAGCAGGGAGAGCAGCATGGGAGGGTGGTCCCTACCTGCTCAGACCTAGTGAGGGCAGAATGATAACCATGAACACCAGGAAGAAGAAGCATTTGTGCATGGTGATCTGATTTTCACTTGACCTGCAGAGAGGGAAGACAAGAAAAGAACATTGCACTTTTTTGGGAAAGAGCAGCAGGTGAGGTGAGGGGCTAGGCTTGGTCTTGCTTTTCACCAAGGAGTTACTCCCTGCCTCACAAAGCTGGGTGCATTTGATCTGTGCATCCATTGGGGCCTTGCAAAGCCTCTCCCAGGCTAGGGTTTGTCATCCTGAGGAATCTGCTGTATTGAAAGCTCTCATACTCCCAGTATCTCACCTCCTTCATCTTTGCCCTCTCCTACCATCCCTGCTGGTATAGACACCCAACAAGAGGCAGATGGGTGTCTAGTATGAGTTCAAAACCTCCTGTTTCCCCCAGAAAAAGGAAGGGAGGTGGTGACAAAGCTCCTGCAAGGACTTGTCAGACCAGACACAGGGCTTGGGGCTGATGGAGGGTCAAGACAGAGAGAGAGCACATTGTAGGAGCTGGGTAGTTTTCTCTACTTTAAGCATCCTGAACCCATACCTCTGCCCTGGAGGGCTGGAAGCATGGTCCTGCTGCTGCCAGTCCACCATAACACCGTACCTCTTACAAACTTCTTCAGATACATCTTAAAACCACCTAACTTTGTCAATAGCCTGAAAGTGTTCAGAACTACGGGAAGCAAATGGCTCCTTTGTGCATGGACTTGGAGCTCTTTCTATGGAGGGAAACATCCAGGGGATCTGCTCCATTGTGGGGGTCTACTGCTCACTGCCTGCTTCTCTGCAGGGTGAGTTCACCTTCCACTACAGTTCCTCCTATCTATAGCAGCCCTGGGGGGCCCAGCCCCATTACCTTGTCCAGTGGGACTCGAAGAACGCTGAGTAGTACACAAGGAAGGGCAAGAAGACAGAGAAGGCCCAGAGCAGCAGTGTAGGGAAAAACTGGGTAATGATGGGATTCTGCAGGGAGAAAGACACCGAACACCCCTCAGCAACCCACCACAGCACAGCCATGCTGGAGACAGCACACAATGGTGTGTGCTGCAGGTGGGCTGGAGCATCCCCTCCCTGAGCAGGGGCATTTGTTTCAGGAGATAAGAACTTGAGGCCAGCCAAAGGCACCACAGCCATGTTCTAAGCCCCAGTGCCACCCAAAAGCTCACAATGAGCAAGAAGGAGCTGTGCTGTTGGCAGCTCCTAACATCTCTTGAGCTCTTTCTAGACCTTTCTTCTTGAATGGACAGCTACCTGCCTGCTTCCTGGACACCAGCACCAAAGCTCAGGTGCTGCCCCAGGGCTCGGCCACTGGAAACCCAAAGAGAAGGGGATGGATAGCAAGCACAGATATGACTTCATCAATGACCTTGATTCTCATCAATGCCCATCCTATAGGTGGTCTTCATAGGACAGTGTAGAGCAGGTACCCCTCTCCATCACAGATGGAAAGCCTGGAAATGATGACCTTTTAGGCAAATTGGCATGGGTTAGGGACTACCTTGAGGCTCTCCACAGGGTGTGTGACATTGAACATGTCCATGGTATTGACAATGATGGCTGGCGTTGTGAGGAAGAAGAGAAGGACGAACAGGCAGATATTAAGCAGAATGAATCGCATCCACCACGATGTTCCACGAACTGATAAATTCTCCCTGTAAGAGAAAAACACAGTTTGAATACGATAAGGAGGAAAAGCCCTGTGTCCTGGGCCTCTCAGCATAGCTTCATGAAGCTCTGCTCCTGCTATCTGCACTAGCCATGGCAGACAGTGTTCTGAACTCGCTCTCTTCTCCTCCCCATGCTGCTTTGCTGTCACGTGAGAGCCCCTTGGACAAGAGAATAGCCACAGAGGAGGTCCATACCACCAGGAGGCTTTGGAGTCAGGCCAGAGAAATCAGAGTCTGGTAATCACCCCCAATCTCAACTGGCTGGGCCCTGCCACCCCTGGCGTGATCACCCCAATCATCCCTGCTGACTTCTGCTATGGCAACAGGAGGGATTTTCTGTCCCTATCACCCTGGGAAAGTGTCCTACGGATACAGGCACAGGTTCCCTATAGCTATATGGGCTCCCTATAGCTATGGGCATAGGCTCCTTATAGCTATGTACATGGGCTTCTCCATATCTGCTTGTTCCCCCTTCCTCCCTCCCTCCTGCCATGGGGGTTCACCAGATGATATCGCTGGGTGCAGGGGCATAGCGAACACCCCAGTGGTGTGACTTGACCACGGTGGTGACAGAGGACTGCTGGGGGTGCTTGCGGCAGTGGATGTGGCTGTAGTCCTTCAAAATCCTGCAGGAAGAGGGAGCCGGGGGTCAGGTCTCTCTTCTTGTGAGACCCTTCCTGCAGCACTAACAGGGCAGCCAACTCTGCAGACGGCAGAGGCACAGAAGAGACCAACCCATTGCCTGCTTTAGGTTGGAAAAGCTGGCAAGGTGCCCCAGCTCCCTGGCAGTGGTGGCAAGCAGGCTGAGGGACATCTCCATGGCTGTTGCATGAGGGGCACTCACACAGCTGTCATCCGCTCGTCCTGGAAGGTGACAAAGGCCATGTCAAGCCGCTTGAGTGTGATGCGGTTGCGCTCTGCATTGAACTCATCTGTGAGCTTCTCCTCCAACTCCCCGTAGTACTGCTCAGCATCCACCTGTGGGAGCAGCCAGGGCTGTGCTGTGCACCGGGCTGGGGCAGGGGCAAGCTGCCGTGCTCCTCCTTGCCCACGGTGCAGGTGTGCTGCCTGCAGCCCTGCCTGCACCCTCCTACCTCATCAAAGCCACAGAAGCGGCAGCAGAAGATGCGGGCGCAGGGGTGAGTTTTGATCATGATCTTCCCCTCCTTCTGTGCCTTGGTGGTGAAGTAAAGCCGCCCCTTCATTGCTTTGCGCCTGCCAGGAAGCCGGTAGTGAAGGTCATTTGGGGAGCACCAGACACACAGCCAGAAACCCAGACTGGGTGCCTTGATGTGAGGGGCAGGAGCAGCACACCCTCGCACAGAGGGAATGTGGATGTGCGTGCACTCACCTCTCTGCATCCAGCTTCATCAGCTTGCGCACGTCAAAGCAGAACTGGACATTGGTGACAGTGCAGCTGGGGTAAGCCTCGCTGCAAGCACAGGGGCATGGTGGCACCAGGAGCCAGGGGACAGGGACAGTCCCTGCCACCTGTCCGCCACTCACCCAGCAGGGCTGTGGCACATGGCTACTCACTGGAAATGCTTGATGATAAGTGAAGGATCTGTGATCTCCTTGGGGATGTGGGTAACCATCAGTGTCCGGGCAACCTGCAGGAAGAGAATAGCAAAGGGATCTGCAGGATGGATCTGCAGGATATAACACTGCCACCCTGTCCACCCAGCAGTGAGCTAGGGCACCAGCTGCCACCCCAGAGGCAAGTCAGCACAGACCTCCTCAATGCCCAGTCCCAAACGCTGAAGGCAGAGCCAGACAAAGCCATACCCCAGACAGACGGATACAGCAGAGCTTCAGTCTCAAGAGACAAGACAGCAAGAGAGAGAGATTTGCCTCCAGGCTGTCACTTTATCCAGAAGCTGGTGAAAATCAGCTCTACCTTTCCCTACCAGCCCAGTTCCAGGCGACCAGCCTGGAAAAGACCTCTCTACCTATGGGGACCAGCATTTGTGCAAAGCAAGAAGTTGTCCATAAGCACTGAACAAGGCAGGGCTGGAGGAGGTGTGGTTTCTCACCTTCTCATTCTCTCTGTATTCCAGGTGGACAGAGTGGTGAGCCATGCAAAGGATGGTGAAGATAAAATAGATGAGGGCGAAGATGCTGTGCAGCCACAGGAGGCGGTCTCTGGAAGAGAGGAAGTGGAGATCAATGAGCACTGTGGTGAGCATGTGGCATGGGGACACGCCTGGCACTCAGCATCTCACCCATGGCCACCCCTTCCACCCAGCAGGACCTCCCCGTGCTAGCTGTCAGACACTCACCCCAGGAACGAGAGGGGAAGCACCCAGGCTGCTGACTGAGATACTACAGAAATGAGGCCACAAAACATCCCCAAGAGCAGTTCTGCCAGCACTGGGGTGCAACGAGCAGTGCCACTGGTTGGCTGCCCTGGCTGTACTCATGTAGTACAGAGTGACAGAAGAGCTACTGTGAGTGGTGTGCTGCTCACATGGCCCTGTCCCTATCTCCAGCACGGGGCTGTGGTGAGTTCTGTGCTTAGGTGCTCCCAGCAGTGCCCACCACAGCAGAAGCACACACAGCCCTCAGCCTGTGGGAGCACCTACTGAGTTGGGATGTTGGCGATGGTTGTCCGGCCAAAGTGGGTGGGATTGTGTCCTGCAGAGGAAGAGGAGAAGCAGAAGGTTAAGGAAACCCAGTGCAGTGTGCATGTTCACATTGCAGTTATTGGCTCTGGCCTTTGCTCCCTTCTTTTCCATCTCCCAGGTCCCAATCAATTCCCCACTGCCTGGAATTTCCCAGCCTCTAATGTTCCTCTGTCACCCAGCAGATGGTGGGCTCCTGCTCACGTGGGGGCTTCTGAGAGAGGGCCTTCTTTCCCGGAGGCACAGAGCTTGCCCAAAGGCTTGGAAGCTTGCATGGCACTCCTGAGTCATCCTGTGACAAGGGAAGCACCTACCCAGGAGGTCCCCTGAGAAGTTGACAGGCAGGATGACAGCCACGGAGAGCACGCAAACCAGAATCAGCAGGACCAGGAGGTGCCGCTGGAAGGAGAGGTAGGTGGTGGCATCGATCCCACACTTGCTCTGAATCTCCTCATCCCTGAAGAGAGGCAGGTGGGGGTCAGTGCTGGTGGTTCCTCCCCACCACCTCCCACCATGGGGACACTGGCTTGCTCCAGTCTCCCACAGCCCACACCAACTCATGACATGTGGCACAAAGGATCTGAGCACAGAGGGAATGAGGGACCCAGGCAGCCCTCCAGCTGCCATCTCATTACAGGATTGGTTCCTATCAGGAGAGGTTGAAGCCCTTTTCCTTAGGATAGGATTTAGGGGCCAGGAAGAAATGCAGAGGTGAGCTGTCTATTCTCTCTTCAGAGAAGAGAGATGTTTAAAGAGGGCTCTTCTCTGCTGCTGGTCCCAGCAGCTCCTGATGATCGGCCACCACCTGTGGGCACCAGCTCCCCATGGATAAGCAGCAGTGGGGCATGACCATAATGCCAAGGACATACACTTACTTCATCTGGTAGATAGAAAGGAGCCAGGAACAGAATCCCTGGAAGGAAAAAGAGACAGGATGAGACAAGGGCAAGCACCCAACCACCTCCCTGGTGAGGGACTGGATCACAACATATACTGGGGAAATATGCAGAGGTGGTGCAGTGCCTACGGCCAGGGGATAGAGCAAATGGAGGCAGTGCCCAAGGCAGCTCAGCAATGCTCAGCCCAGTGGCAGAGGCAGTTGCCTCAGGAGAAGCAAGGAAAACTCCAAAGAGATTATGGGAAGCTGAGCACAACCTCTCTTCCAGGTGGCAAAAGCCCTGAGGGACCATGTGACCTTCCTGAAAGTAGCGATAAGAGAATTTGTACAAGTGGGAACAAGGAGTCTGCTGGGACAGGGGTATAAAAGGACAGGGAAGTCTCTCTACAAACATCAACCATCCTGATGGACGTCAGATGCATATTTTTGGCTGCAAAAGGATTTGCAGAGGAGGCTGAGGTCAAGCATTAACCCACTGTTTCAGGGGTGACTTGCTGGACCTCAAATTCCTCTAAATATTAAGGAACATCACTGTAACAGGCTCCTGCTTCCAGAGCTCCCTTCTCTTCCCCTTCCATGATAGTCCCTAACATTCAATGCACTTTTTTACCACTCTCAAGTGCTGAGGTGGCAGTGCTGTAGAGTGCTACAGGATAACCTAAGTTCTTGTGCACTAACTAGCTTATTCCCTGTCACTCTGTATGCACACGGATTTTCAGACTTTCCCCTGGTGAAGGAGGATTGGGTTAGGAAACACCTAGACAGACTTGACACCCACAAGTCCATGGGCCCTGACAGGATGCATCCACAACAGCTGAGAGACCTGGTAGACACCATGGCAAGGCAGTTCATGATCATCTTTGAAAGATCCTTAAAGATCAGGAAAGATGCCTGAGGATTGGAAGAAAGCACTGTGCACTGGAATAGATTGCCCAGAGAGGTTGTGGAGCCTCCTTCACTGGAGATATTAAAGATACAATCTTGTGCCATAGGATGTGCTGTAGGATGACTCTGCTTGAACAAGGAGGATGGACCACATTGGTTCCTTTCAACTCTACCCATTCTGTGATTTTGTGATTCTGGGCTTTTTATGCTCTCTACAAACTTGTCCTCAAAACTGCTCTTCTTGCCTCTTACTGTATTTTACATCTAACCTGGTAGAGTTGAGATTTTCCTAGTTTGTGAACAGTTTGACTTTTTAAAGGATGTCATCTTCTAATAATCTTCTTTAATCTGCTCTTTAGTATGCTGGCTTTCCCTGTAGTCTTTCTCACTTATTTTTTGATGAGCAATATACATTTTCCTAGAGCATCAGGTACAGAGCCTTTAAACAGGCCTCCTGCCACCTGAAAGGATTTTGCTTCTTTCCTACCTAGATTTTTTAAAAAGTCATGAGATATCTTCATAGTTGTACCAATTACTATTTTTTGAGCTTTTGCTGCTGAAAAAGAAATAGAAAGAAGCAGCAAAATGTGTCTGTCTGTGTTTGTTTCCAGCAAAGCCCGGTGTGGTAGAGAGAAACAAAAGATTACTTTAGAGCCTCATCATGGTGGCAGAGGAGGAAATGTGGTGTGGGGGACTTTATCCTGAGGGGTGGGAAAGATCCTTGCAGGCATGCAGCCAGGCTCTGACCATGCATCATACTAGATCCCCACAGCTGCAAGGACAGCTGTGCAGTTGTGAGATACTTGCTGACAGGAGCATCTCCTCCAAACTGCCATTCAAAATAGATCCCTCAAAGAATCCAAGACGAATAACCCTCCAGCTTCCAGGAGTTCCCCACTGCTGAAGGGTGTTGAGAAGGAGATTTAATTTCTCACACTTAATTTCTGACCTCGGTTTCGGATGAAGAAAAGGACAGGCTGGGCGGGGACAAGCCCAGCCCAGGTTCCCACTGCCACAGCCACTGGCACTCACCACATCCTTGTTGTCAGCATCCAGAGGGCTGCTCTCTGATGGGGACTTCTCCTTCTCACTCTGCTCTCCATAGAAAAGCGATGTCAGGCTTTGCAGTGAGGGGAGGAGCGGAGGGTGAGGCAGAAAAGAAGCAGCAGACACGAGAGGATAAGCACTCTTGGAGACGTCTCTCCTAGGACAGCAGCCCAAGAAATGTCTCCCCCCCTCCCTGCATCCTACACTGGGGCTGGAACAGTGATTACTGCTGGGCTTAGGACAAAGAGGTTGCATCTTTTTGCCTCCACACCAAGTCTCCCCAGCTTCTTTGTGGCCCTGACCCATGATGGGCTCATGGAGATGTAGCCTTAGCTCCATTACAAGGGACTGTTGAACCAGGTATTTTCTATTCCACTGTTTTCAGATGTCTCAAATGGTTTTACAGTAAAAAGGAATGTAATCAGAGCTTGCATTTTAAGTCTTGATTGCCCTTTGATCTCACTGGTGAAGGGAAGAGAAAACATCACATATTCATTGCCAGACTCAGCTCCAGATTCAGAGGCCAAGAGGAGCTGGAGGGGAGAAGGCAGAAGAGGGACTTTAACTGAGCTTACTCGTGTGGGCTGCCCAGCCTTGCACAGACTCCTTCTGTGTCCACCAGCTTGTGCAAAGGAAGATGCTTTGTTGCCCAAGGTGAGCTGTGCTCTGGCAGGCAGGCTGTTGTGGGCAGCACAGACCACCTGGAGATATGGTTGGGGCTCTACTTTTACCAGAACACTGCTTATTTTTGTGGAATTCTGCACCTAGCCCAAATGATGGGCCAGGCAAGTTGCTGTAGTGACAGTGAGGAACAGTGTTATTGCTGTGTGTCTCCCTGTGCCCCGTCCACCAGCCAGTCCTGCTCATCCCAAGAGAGTGGCATGAGAAGAGGCAGTGGCACAGTTCCTGCTGAAAAACAGCTCTTTGCCCTTGCCAGAACAGTGCTCACAATGGCAATAAGAACACTGTCACCAAATGCTAGAGGGAATGAAAGCTGGTCTGGGCTTTCCCTCTGCCTGCAGCAGAGGGTGGCTGTGTCTCCATGGGAAAGGGGGGCACCAGGCCATTCCCAGTGGGAAGGAGGGACATGAACACGTGCTGAATTCTGTGTGTCATGCTGCAGTGCTGGTCTTCCTTCCATTCCTCTTGAAGAGAATTGGAGCATCACCTGCAGCAGCTTTGTATCCTCCTCACCTGTCATTGTCCATCAGAAGTGCCAGGCGTCCGTAGTCCCAAGCCGCTTTCCGAAGACATGAGAAGATCAGAAGGAGAAGCTGGAAGAAGGAGAAGTGTTTAGCTGCAAGGTCTCACCCCATGGGATCTTCTCATATCCCTCCTTTCTGTGTTCTTGCAGAACCCAATGAGCCCGAGCTTGTGCAAAACTCTTATCCCAAACTGTTCCTGCTCCGTGATCTCACCACTGCTGCCCACCATAATGTGGGAAAAGCCCTTGGACCTCTGCACTCGTCCCTGCTCCCCAGTCAGGCAGGTGTACTGCTGCGCAGGCTGCACTGGTGTGTGGCTCTCAGTGTATGTGGGGGCTGCAGAGCCCATAGAAATGGCATCTTCCCGGCCCACTCACCAGCCAGAGGATGAAGTTGATGGCCAGCACAGTGGGCACGCCCCCAAAGGGCAGCCCCTCCAGGACAGTGCTGCGGGAGCGGGCGCTGAAGCACTGCTCCTCCGTGCTGTTCACCGGGGCGTCCAGGAAGGCGAGCATATCCAGCGAGGTGAGGCCAGCACCGTCAGGTGCCGGCTCCATGGAGTACACGCTTTCCATCGGCACCGTTGTGGGGTCTCACCCTGCAACACACAGGGCAGGAGTGTGGATGGAGAAGCCTTTGCCTGAAAAGGGGCCATGGCTCTTGCAGCTCTCTTTCATCAAGGTGTGAGGAGCTCACTAAGGGTAGGAAGGGGAGAGGATTGGTGATCTCACAGCTTCCCCAGTCACAGTCTCTCTCAGGGAGAGGCGGTTGGACACAAGGCAGAGGGTATCGCTGAAGAAATCTCACAGCTACTTCCTGCCCTTTCCCCACCCCATCAAACCCCATGCTATTTGGTTGTCTCTGTCATACCTGAGACAGATCTCTCACCACCTCTGCCCCTCAGTCCTGGAAGCTGGGTTGAGTCATGGCCACCCTGGTGTTGTCAGCAGGCAGGAATGAGAAGCTGAAGCATTTGTTTGAATTTCTGAAAAAAGTATCAATGATAATATTGTCAGCTGGGCTGCTAGGGCTGCACCTGCTTCTCTCCCCACAGCCAGATGGACAACCCCAACCTCTCCAGAGGGTTGAAGAATTTAAGAACTACTCTTGGTGCTTGCAGTTTCCAAATTAAATTTAAAAAAATATGGTGACTTGCTATTTTCTTCATTTCTGAAGCAGAAATTCCATCCTAAAGAAAAATTTCCACCAGAAGCCTAAGAGTGGCTGGGATGACTAGACCAAGGCTATGAGCCCAGAAGAGCTTGAGTCTTACCCCACTGCAATATTAGGCTGGCATCTGACTACTTGCATAGATGCCTTGAAGGGACGTCAGAAGCTGCTGAGCTACAGACACCAAGTTCCCCAGGACATGCAGACACATGGCAGTCCCTTTTCCTGTGCATATGGTGCAACATCACCTGAGCCATGGGCTTCAGTGTCTGCTACAGACCTGCCTGTGCTGTACCTTCAGTTCTCCTCAGAGGTCCCTGTCCATGTACATATTCATCTGTCCAGACTATGATGTCTGGAGACATCACTGCCCAAGCAAGGACAGTTGAACATTACTGTGACTCTCAAAAGAACTGCCAGGTCACTTGAGATATGCCAATACTTCTCCAAAGGGCATCTCAGCAGACTTGGGGCTGATATTTGCACCCAGGTGTGGAGTGATGGATGGGCTGGCAAAGCCTCCCAGCAGTGCCCTCACTCACAGCCTGTCTCCCAGCCATGCCTGGGAGTCCTGTACTTTCAAGGGTCAGCATGGCCCCATGAGGATAATGACCGCTGACAAGGGGCCTTATGAAGAGACCTGCAAGAAGTGAGGGGGCTACTATGGCAAGCAGCAGCTGTTTGCCCTGGCTTGCCTGCCTCCTGCTTGCCACCTGGGCCACCAGGACCTCTAGCCAGGGTCTGCTCTTTGCTGTGGAAATGCTCTCAATCTGTTCCTCACCATGTGCATGTCTCTCTCTCTCCCCTCCTCCTGTAAGCAGCAGAGTCATTGCCATCTGGCATTTTCAGCTGCTAAATAATTCACTGCCTTTTTGTTAACAAGGAGAGTGTGTCTCTGACCAAGGGAGCTGTTAGACCATCAGCAAACAAACAAGGAGACCCTTAGCAACCTCCAAGTTCCTTCTCCATCACCACCACTCCACTACACAGCAATAAGATCCTGCAGCTTGTTTCTAGGCACCAGCTTCACACTTGTAGGAGGAACATCCTGTCAGGGGTGGCAGGGTGAGGGGGATTTTCACAGGGATCTGTACAAGTTGTGTTTCTCTATCAAGTCCTTGCTGCTATCCTTTTCTCTCCTGTGTTAGATATTTTGCTCCTGGTGGCCAAAAGCAATGGGTTCCTCTTGGAGATAGTGCTAGTATCTCCTGCTCCCAGCTCTCCTGCCCAGAAACATCCCGAATGCAAGCCTTCACCCTTCCAGCCCAACCAGCACATTTCTCTCCACACAGCACTGCCAGTATAATGCCAGACTGCACAGAGAAATTTCAGGAGCAGAAGATCCTTGAAGGCCCAGTCCCTTCTCTCTTAAGCACCTCCAACTCCAAAGGAGTCCAAAAGAGCTGTCATGTCATGCTCAGGCCTGTAAACACAGCCTTTGTAGTGTATCACAGCTCCTCTGAACCTGATCTCAAGCCACTCTCCTGCCCTTTCATTGCTCCTTTCATCACCAGATAGCCACAGAAACTCTCCTCCAAATACCCAAGTCACTTTTCTAGACCATTTGTTCTAGCTAGTCTCACCTTTTATGGTGCTGCTCTCAGAAAAGCTTATGCAAATTATATCGCTGCAGTGTTACCGTTAAAATAACTATTGGGGACAACCAGCTAAAAGTAAATCATGTATATGTTCTAGGAACAGCACGCAGCAGAAACAGCGAGAGGAGATTTCTGCTCACATGCACCAAGAACAGCTTAAACTCAGACCTGCAGAACATGTTCAAACTCCCTCTGGTTGGAGAGGTAAGTTTTTTGCTAGACAGAATGAGAAATCAGGGACAGAAAAATCAGAATCAGAAACAGGGTCACTGCAGGTCACACTTAAAGTCATTATTGAAATGCCTAAGCTAAATTTTCACACCATGCAAATGAGAAAATTCAGCATTTTGCAATATTCAATTGATGGCACTCTGCAGTAATACCTGAAAGGTTCAACAAAACCTACAGCATCACCAAACCATTCCTGTTCCCTGCTATGCCACTGCCATTGTGCTTTTCCCAATCTTTAGGGGCCAAAGGAACAAACACTGTTGTGAATAATAGAGCTGGATGGGTGCCACCTCCAAAAGGTGTCAGGACAGCTTCCCATTAGCTGTGTATGAGGCAGGGCCTCTAGATGCCAACCACAGACAGGTGTCCTTCAGAGCAACCACTATCCTGGAGAAGTGACAGCAATGGACTAGTCAAGAAACACAGGGATGTACAGGGTTGCAGGTGGGGAAAATGAAGCAATAACATAAAGGCAGATATTTCAATATATGGTCTATCCATGATAGGTCTTACTTAGAGGAAAGATACTGAACCAGGATCAGAAAACATGTAGAGCAATTCCTTCTCCTCTTTGTGGCCTGTGAATGCACAGTGAATGCATGAGATTTGCCATTGAAACTGATTTGCAGGTTAATTTCTATGAAGCACTTTCAGTGTGTATAAGCTTTGTCTTGAATATTCAGTGCCCTCTTTGTTTTGTTGATACATCAGCATATGTTTCTTCTCTCCGGTTGGGTGGGCACTAATCCAGAGAATCAGATTTCCAATTAAAAACAAGGCATGTCTTTTATGCGAATGTAATTTTTCACAATTTGTCTTTCCTTGAAGCATCCTGCCAGCAAACTCATTTGCTAGGGGATTCACGGACAGCTGGAGTAGCAAAACATCAGAACAGTCTTGAGAGCGTTGAGATGACTAAGCTGGGTTTCCTAGCATGCCTATGCTCATCCAGCCTCAGCATCCCACTCTGGCACAGGTGGGATTACTGACTTCAGCTGGCCAGAGGGTAGTCAGGGCATGGGGCTGTCGATGGAGCAGTCTGTGGCTACAGACTGCTGAGGACCTAGACCTAGAAAACAAGCATCTATGCTACCTGACTGCCTCTATATCCTTCTTCCATTACAAGTAGATCATGGCCAGGCTGTGGAAGGGAAAATCAAAGACTGCTGTAAAAGGAAGATCAGGTTCATGCCCTGGTGTGCACAGGACCAGGCAGGCAGGCCAACCTCCAGCATTCCACCCTGCAGGACTGCAGTGACCGACCTTGCAGGACTGCAGTGACAGGGAGGGCAGGAAACCTGAGCCATTGCCACTTACTCAGCATGGCTAACCAAGTACCTCAGGATGGGAAAAGGCTCGTCAACAGCCTGTCCTGAGCTCAGCACACACCCCTGCAGTTTTGGCACTGCAGGGCGGGTGACTTCTCCATTCCTGTAGCTTGGTGCAAGGGAGAACAGGCACACCACATCTTGGGCCACATGTGTCCCCAAGGGCTATGAGCACAGAGGGGATGGGACCAAAGACACAACCTTCCAAAACCCCACAGAGGTCCAAGGCATTGGTTCTCCCTTCAACATTCCCTCTTAAGATTAATGGCCTCAAGGTCCAAAAAGCAGAGAGAGATCGAGCAGCTTGTGGTCTGTGTGGTGAGCACCTGTGGGGCAGCAGCATCCCTGAGTCATTAACACTGGAGTGAATGCTGTGCCCACGCCCTGTCAGGGTACGAGACAGACAACCCACCAGCAGAAGGCCCCATCCTATCACCAGCAGGACATGGGACATACACCAGCCTGTTCTGTCAGCCTGCTGCAAATCAGATGCATTTTTCAAACAAGGAGGACCATATCACAAGCAGCAACATGGCTTGTGGTCTATGGAGGCTGGGGTTAGAAAGGTTTGGAGGCAAAGGACCACTCTGTAGCAACAGATGACCCCTAACAGGTAAAAAACACCTGCTCAAATATTAGCTTTATCATTGCCAATGAAGACATGATCACTCAGAGAGGTCATGAGGACTCATGTTTCATTGATCCTACTCCATCTCATACACATACCCACCACTCAATGAGAAAATGAATGTGAGTGCCTGACTGCTTAAGAAAAAACTGCTTAAAAATGGTATAGATAAACTTCATCTTCCCTACCAGTAAGCTCTGGCACTGCTCTCTCACTGAGGAGTACAAAGCCAGGCTCATTGCCAGCCAGGGCAGGAAGGCTGGGGAAAGAGCCAACCCATGAGCCAGGCCCTGGGGATGCAAACCCCACAGCGAGGTCCTTCCCCTCAGTGGTGAGCCTGCCTTTGCACTGCTGCTCCTACCCCCAGTGTGTCACCATTCCCAACCTGCCCTGCCAACACTGTGCATCTAAATAATGTAACCCACTAGGAGGCTGAGACTGATCCCATTTTGGGGAGCTAAGCAAGTTTTTCTGCTCTCAGGATTGGCAGGTTGTCACTACCTTCAGGAAACGGTGTGCAGGGTCATGCTGCCCCAGGGACTCACCTGAAACCAATACATACCCCTCTTCTGCTATGTGTCCCTGTGGTGCCTGCTACATTACCCACAGCTCCCTGCCCTCCCCTTCTTCCCCAGCACCATCACACAGGGCAGGTTTTTGGCACTTGGACAGACTAAATTCCATGAAGTTTTTGAACAGAAAGGCATTCCAGTCCCCTTGGGATTCTCTGCAGGACAATGGTTGTGGCCTTCCAAACAGCCACCTGCATAAGCCCCTTCTCCTGCAGGTATGCTGTGGAGCGAGCAGACCAATGCTGACTTGCTGCAGTGCTCCTTGGAGGGACAAAGCCAAACCCCAGGCAACCAAGAGCAAACAGTGCTCTCAGCACTACAGCCAGGGAGATTTGTTTGGGCCAGTGCGTAGGAGATGTTGTGCAGAGAGCAGCTCTTCTTCAGCCTCCTCCACACATGTGCAAGCCAGAGGCTGTTGGAGCCAGCACACTGAGACTGGGAAGGAAGAATCGGAGCAG